ATGTTTATGAGCACGTAGGCTGGTTCTCGAGCTTTTATAGAAAAAGTGAACTCCAGATGTTTTGTTGATTTCCGGCGGCCATATTGGTGGACCAAAACGGTACACCAATATGGCGTCTCCATACAAAGCTCTACAAGGGTGCGTGAAACGTTTCGGCAAATAACTCAGAAACTGTGGGCCACAAAGACCTGAGACTTGGACAAATTGTTTATATGTTAGTCTTTTGTAACATGTCATTTTCTCGGCTTCTTCCACTGGACGGTTTCCAATTTATTTTTTTGTTGCGTGACAGTGAAAACGATCTGTTGAGAAAATCTCGTACTCGTAGTCGACCCCGTCTCAGAATCTAAAGCAATCTATTATTAAGATAGTTCGACTTTAACTTTGGTTATGCAGACACTTCACCTCATACTCCATTTTTACAGAAAATTATAGGTGCAATGTAAGGGAGCCTGGTGCCCCTGGGATTGGAAGGCAATATGCCTTAAAAAAGTTCCCATTATATTGTTACAAGACAGAGATACTTGTAGATCAATGGGGCAATTTCATACTCTATCCTTTGATACATGTACATTCTATGCAGAGAGTACTTCGGATAGGAAGTCAACAGATTTTTCTTCACAGACCTCCACTATTAGAACGATTTTCGTATGACCTTGAAAAATGGTTTCGGTACGTGTTCGTTATTTGTTTTATCAGCCAATGGATGAAAAGATCAAAACATGGACTCTTCGTTTTCCCGCCAAAGAAAACCTCAGTATGGAGAAGGCATTGTTCGATTGGCCAGTCGTGTTGCAGTTTGACGTCAAAGCGAAGTATCGATTTATTTCTAGAAAGTTCTTCGGGCATGAAGTTTTTTCACCCGAGCGTTCGCTTAACCAACCAGAAGCCACGCACGTTAGTGTCCGTTCAATAAAACAATCAAATCGCTCTATTTCCTTTCGTTTGTTGTTGCTGTTTTGTTCGCGCGTAGTCATTTCAAGGTCATACGAAAATCGCTCTATCCGTAAGGAAACAAAGATATTGTAGCTCTCCCGGGAGTTTCTTGCCCTGACCCCTGTCCCGTTCTCTGAGGTACCAGGGATTGGAAGGCAACGTATTTTTCTACCCCATTTTAATTTCTCTAGTATATTCCGTTCTTGAGGATGTCAGTATACAGTTAATTGTAAAGGTGAGATATTCTATAGGTGAGAGACGAAAAACATATTGTTTTACTCTGCACATGTGGTACTGTATTTATTGAGTTGTGAAGGGAGTGTCTTCTAAAAGATGCTTGTGATAGGCCGTTAGAAGACAAAGGTATTTACAGGAGTGCTTACCATTTACATGGGAAAATCAAATGGTTTGTGCCATTCCGTTTGAGAAGCTTTATAAAATATGGGTTGTGATTTGAGGCTATGCAATTTTTCTATTCTAAATCAGCTGAACATGCATCCCAGGTTTGGACACGGGGGCGAACTACGCCCCTAACCCAAGTTAGCCGACGCTAGGGATTGGAAGTCTACTCACCTTCACAATACCTTCCGGCATATCCAGCGGGCGGGCAGATACATTCATATGTCCCTGGGAGGTTGATACACCGGGAAAGGCGGTGGCACCTGTCTGTTCCACGTTGGCACTCGTCAACGTCTATAGATATGATAGAGAAACGAGGAAAACACAGCACGATGTGTCATGTTGGATAGAGGTGAGCTCGAAAGGAAGTGTGCGTTCGATTGATCGTATTCCGAAATCCGCCACTCAAATATCTCAGGCCCGCGTCAGACGCCGAACTTTTCATGAGCCGAACCTACATGTAATACATTGAATTAGCGACATGAAAAGTTCAGCGTCTGAATCAATTAGGAACGCCTGTTTCAATTTGGAACGGCTCAGCAGTTCTTCCCGCCTAGCCCGGCCGGAGATTTCGGCTTTGGAGCGACTTTGGAACGGCTTTGATTCAGACGCCGAACGTTTCATGTCCCATACCTAATGCATAAATTTTTACAACGTATTTTGCAAGCAGCTTGATCGAAATAAGGATTTTTCTCCTTTTGAATTATGTTCAGCTGAAATTATGATCAGCGTCCATGAAAAGTTCGGCGTCTGAACCGGGCCTTATATAACATCTATTCCATATAATTTACGTCTTATATAATAGCTTATTACAAAAGATGTTTCGATATTGAAAAGCAAAGACTACCTAAAAAAATGATTTCTACAATTTATTCCATGTTTTTTTATTACGAAATACAGTCCATCGCACACGCCCTAAGTACGAAGTTGCCGTTATTAAGGGTAGCACTTAAAATATTTCTATAAAATAAAACCAGTGGTCCTAAGAGAAAATGAAAACAAACAAACAAAAAAAAAAACATTCAAAATATAGAGATTCAGACGGAATCCATCAGGAAATTGAGAAATTTTCAGTGGACAAAAACCTTGTACCACAATATTTTAAATCATATCGCATTCTTTTTCACACTTTTTAAGCCCTATAAATAAAATAACTTAACTTCAAAGAAAAGGTTCTTATGGAAGCCCGAGAAAATAAATTTCAAATTTCACAGGAATTGAGAAAACACTGGTAAAATCGAATGAAATTTGAAGCTTTTGAAGCTCGTTTTCTAGGGCTCCCATAAGAACCCTTACTTAGGAGTTTTTTATAATATATAGATTTAGCCAGGGCTAAAAGCGAGGCTCCCATTAATAAATTTATAATTTAAATTAAACAATAAATTTGTATTCGAATTCCACAATTCAGTTAACTTTAGAGCACATTTATGTGACTTTTGAGGGAAAGGCTACCTGATTTTAGAGAAAAATAATTTGCAAACAGCCCAAGAGTGAACCAAATCTTACATCGAGTTGATAGCCTCATATGTACACCCCAAAACGATCACATTTAAGAGCCATAATGGCTCTTGATCACCGTAATTAGTGGAAAAAAATCAGGCCAACTTTTTTGCGTTCGACAAGTTTACTTTGCAAAATCTTGTCAACAAATCTGGGTGCGTGTAAACCAACCTTTTATACCATTTATACATCACATCTGAGGTGAAACAGTAGTATGAGGCACTGTTTTTATCATACCGGCAGACCTCGGAAAGAAAGCAGTATTTCACAATACAAATTGCACTCATTCAATATTCGTAAACCGTGAAAAAAATTTCCAAAATCACCTATACGGCCATCCGGTTCTCACTTTTGTAGTGCGAGCTATGGCGAGTGTTTGAATGAACATTAACAGAGTTACGCTCCACCATTATAAAGAATTTATTCTGTTTATTTTTTATTTAATGGTTTATTAACGCGCGGCATTTTGAGTACTCCTGCAAGCGATGTTCACTGAACGACTGAAAACAATCGGCACAGCGATTAAAATTACAAGAGAGACTACTAACAATCAATAAAAGAAATATAATTCGGTGAAACATATACAGAAACAACAATTTTCATTCAAGAAGACAAGTATTAAAGTATCCCTAAAAATCCTGAGTCTTCAAGCTTCAAGCTTAAGTTTATGTTTTAAGCCGGCTTCCCGGTGTTTGCTTTTTTCAAAGACGAACTCGAGGCAAGAAAATCGCTCAAAGCTTTCTTTTCCGGCCAGAATTATAACTAAATATTCTTTGGAACGTTTTCTTTCTATTTGCGGTGAGAAACTGTCTAAAGGCTTTTTAAAGTTCTGTAAGCTCATATCAAACCTGATACTCGGTCAGATCATTGTCTCAAATCTTACAAACGTGCATAAACTAAATGACCGCATAAACTCCGCTCGACTTCATTAAATTAGATCCAAAAAAACAAACATCAAATACAATAATTTCTCTGGCTTACCATTCGAGATGCAGCTCCTGAAAGGTATTAAGAAAAGCCAGTATCGCTTCTGACTTTGCAGTCCTCTTACACATCAAGCAAGGTGAAAACGAAAACGATGCCATCCGAAATCGGATTTCCGACTTTGACAAGCGACGTATTCCTCAACCAAAAACCCAATAAACAAACTCGCCATGAATAACAGAGGACTCCTGATAGCAGCTGAATTTCATTTTGCACATTCAGTGGAAAAAGACAGTTAAAAACATCACAAGTTGACACAAAACTCTGTCAGCTTCAGCTGTCAAAGTAAACAAGATTCAAGATGCTGCATAAATTTTCCGCATGAACTCACCTGTCCAATTTTGACCAATCAGAGCATAAAAACTGGACGTAGAGCGTGACCAACGCGTGACCATGGTGAGAAAAGTCAAAAGCAACTGTCTTCCCTGCCTGTAACAGATGGCTGAATTTTCGCGTCCGAGGTCAGTTTGCAATCAAAATTTTAATTGTGTAGCACATAAACACAACATATTTCATATGAATTTAGAAAAACTTGAATTTGAGCCTGCGATCACTTGAAAACTAGTAACTTGTCAGCGGATAACTTCAAAAAAATACTTGACCTCGATGGGTCGACACCTGAGCCAGCGATACGGTCAAGTGATACTGGTCAGCGGGTACCCTGTTTTGACAGCTGTCAATTGATCAAAACATTGATGTCAAATATCTGTGCATTATCAGTTTAACTAGTAAAAATATGAGATTGAACATTGTTCGCGATCTAGTAAAACAATTAACTGGTCAGCGGACAGCTTCCAAATAAATCACGTCACCTCGATGTCTTGACACATAAGCCCGCGATATGGTCATGGGATACTGGTCAGTGGCTATCCTGTTTTGACAGCTGTCAATTGACCATATTGTGAATGTCCTAAAATCCTATATTAAAGATGTGGACTTGCCAAGACACGCCTGAGACACCCCTCCCTTCCTTTTGATAGTCTCCCCTACCCCACCCGTACAATCTGTAGACGCGTACGTACGTATGTACGTACGTACGTACGTACGTACGTACGCTCGGTCAATCACGTGACAACCAAATGAAAAGAGGTTGACCATATTCCATGAGTATGGGGCTCTGTCCCACGCGCGCTTCGCGCGCGCGGGAGCCCCGCTATAACTTATTACATTTATAGCCCTTTGAAAAGTACAAAAAAAAAGAATTTAGTTTGATTGAAATTATTCTGTTACATGGTTTTTATGGTTTTTGTTCACTGAAAATTAAAATTACTCAATTTCCTAATGGATTCCGTCTTCATATGTTAAATTTGAAGAGTAACTAGACTGGCCCACAAGTCGGGCTCAAAATTTTTCTCGAGCGCAAAGCGTGCGCGCTAGAAATTTTTCATGTTTTGGTGGCAAAGCACGCTGGGGACTACTACCGGAACCGGAAACCAGAAGCGAAGGACTTTGAGAAATTCTAAAGAGTAACTTACTCACCTCTCTCCACGAGGAAAATAATCCTGTGGACAATCCATCGACAAGAGAAACGGAAGATGGCAAAAGGGTAGTTTGGGATATCTCCATGTATCTTGAACAAACGTCCCAGAAAAAAGAAATTATACCTGATAAGGATTTGCAAACGATTAGTACGACCGGAGGTAATGCCACTGAGGGTGAAAAAATCATCAACACTTAAGTGCATGACTTGGGTAATGAACTGGTAAATAGTCAGCTTGCGAACGAACGTGATGGAAAAGCCATTCATCTGGGTCACAAACGCCAGAGACTTTGTGGATATCACTTCACGTAAGCTCAAAACGGTGTGTCTAGTGGTGTTGAGGAATCCATCCAGCTGGCACATGGTCAAGGTGGAGATCGGGACATTGATCTGAAGTGAATTGATCAGGAACTGTTGGCTGACTCCAAGCATTTGACTCATGACTTCAAAGGCGTGAAACACCACTAGTCTGCGAATCACTACGTGGAAATCGCTAACAGTCAGGTTGTAAGTAAGCTCAGCGTCCGTTCTGTTCACTCGGACCGCAGCCTCGGAAATTGTCAAATTGAGGTTGCTTACATAACGTATTAAAGTGGATATCACTTCACGTAAGCTCAAAACGGTGTGTCTAGTGGTGTTGAGGAATCCATCCAGCTGGCACATGGTCAAGGTGGAGATCGGGACATTGATTTGAAGTGAATTGATCAGGAACTGTTGGCTGACTCCAAGCATTTGACTCATGACTTCAAAGGCGTGAAACACCACTAGTCTACGAATCACTACGTGGAAATCGCTAACAGTCAGGTTGTAAGTAAGCTCAGCGTCCGTTCTGTTCACTCGGACCGCAGCCTCGGAAATTGTCAAATTGAGGTTGCTTACATAACGTATTAAAGTAAACCTAGCGCAGAGTACCTCGATTTTCAGTGGGCTCAACCGTCTGATGTAAACCACAGTTAAACTAAATGCTTTGCTTAGCTGCAGAATTGTGACATTGTAAGCTTCAAGAATCTTTGTAACAGCCTCCTCGACCTCCTTTTTGGTTTCTCCATTGATTTCCATGATCTTGGAGTTCGTCTTGAAAATTAATTCCACCAATGTTGGGTACACTTTATACGATTGTAGTTCAACAACCGAAATGTTGGTTTGCAGCGCTATTTCCTGCAAGGTGACGTTTAACAAGTTCAAGTCGTATCCCGCGGGCCCTATAATAAAGGACTTCAGATAAAGCACTCGTCTGGGAACCTTCACTAGTACAAGCTCCAATACTGAAGTCACATTCTCAAGATCGCCTCGGACGAGCTCAGTCCAGTTGAGATGAAGCGAGGCTCGAACGCTTCGAATCGTGACCTGTAAACTAGTGAGGAAATCGTTGCCGAGTATTGAGATCTTCGCCAAATGAAGCAATGAGTAGTTTTTGAGGTCGTCCGGATTTTCCACAGCTAGTATTGCTGCCAGTTCTTTTGTGCTTCGGTCGAGAAGATCGAACGACGAGACATTGATTTCCAAAAATAAGGAAAGCCGCCTTACAGTGACGTTAAACGGTTGAATTAGGATGTCTAAAATGGATTCGGTCTCGACACTTCTGTTATTGGTAAGAGCAATCTGATGTAATGTTTCATTACCCACTAGCTGAACACTTTGAGAAAAATTTCTCAACGCGACAATTTTGCGTAAAACTGACTCAACTTCTGAGACAAACACGCCACGGAAAGCTTCATCAAAGGTGATCTCACGATAGTCTGACATATTCAGCAGGAAAAGAGAAACTTCAGGTAAGGATAGTTCCAAATAGTCCAGACATCCGACGGCGATGTTCAAGCGATTCGCTGTATCTTGTCTTGAACCAGTCATCAACGTGGTTTCAAGTATGCGTAAAATGGTCAGCGGCCTGTCCCCACCTTCTGCGCCCTGCTGGCGAGTGGCAACCGTTACGTTGACTAACGAACTTAAATTGTAAGTTGCCCTGCAAGAAGCGCTGGTTGGTGGAGCCTAAAAACAGAGAGAGGTAAACATGTATGTGAGCATGCAGGTGTGGATTGATTAAAAGTTAAAGTTAAGTTAATGAATAAAAAAGGTACCAAAGAACGGAGAGTTAAGCTGTTTTGTTGTTTATTAGCTTTGATCCTCTGATGTAGCAGATTAAAATCTGCCTATCTCTGATAAACTCCCTCCTTTAAGAGAAAGAAAGTCATCAAGCACCACCTCCCCCCCCCGCCCCTCTCTTCTCTACCGTGGAGGCTTCATATTAGAGGTGTCAACAACAGTCAAATATATTATTCATTTCTATGGCACAACTTCATCTAAAAGTTTTCAAATGTGCATTGTTGTCTACTTGCTTCGTTTGTTTGAAGTAACAGATCTTCATAAACAGTAAAACTGCTCATCCCTTTCCATTGTGGCTTCATATAGAGGTGATAAGTCACAACAATAGGCAATTCTAGTCAGGATGGCCAATCAGTGGCCACAGCTAATTGAAGGAGACGGCCGCTTAATAAAGGTTTAATTTACAACTTTTTCCTACAATAATATTATATTGGGACTTTGATGAAGGAAAATACAGAAGATGGAAAATATACTCTGAAATAGGAGTTGATGACTAATTATTTTGGACCAGCAATGCTTCCCCCATTGCACGCTTCTTATAAAATAAACTGATGTTTCTGCCAAAGGTTACAGTATGCTAATTCACAACAAACCTCTAATGAGTGAGCCACCTTCCTTTAGGCAGATACTTGCCAGTCCCCGAGGGTGGCTGCTTTATTAATGGGAGTTCAAATATTTTTTTTGTTTTTTCACCTCCCAGTTTAAGTACTATTATTATTCATTCAAAATATTTCCCCAATTCTGATTGGCTAAAAGCACACGCATAATTCACCATAACCAGTTACTGATGACCAAATTTGGAACAATTTTGACTTTAATGAGGAAATGACTTCAAAAATGCAGCATTCTTACAGGTTAAGGCACCGTGGGAATGAGACTGAGTTGTTTTGGTTGTGAAAATAAAAATGGTGGACACTTCACTCATTTCAAGAGTAAAAACCACAGCCGCAACTAGGCGTAATAATAGCAAAAAACATAGCAAAAAATTGAAAGAAGACAACAACAACATCTGCTATTTGGAGAATATTTGCGGAGCTGGACAAACCTAAATGCACACTATCCAAGATGAACTTAACATCGATGCAGGTAAGCATGTTTTAGTTATGTTTTTAAACTAAGAATTTTTTCGAATGAATAATAAAGCAATTAATAAATTCGGTTTTCATAGGATATGAACAATTAAGCAGATCTCGAAGGGTGTTATCCACCTCGGCCTTCAGCTTCGGTGGATAACACCCTCCTCGATCTGCTTAATCTTCATATCCTACTCAGCCTCATTCATTAATTGCTAATTATCCAGTGACTAACTGATGGTTTATCATTATCTAAAGCATAGTAATACTATGAATGGAACATATTCAAAATCATCCGTAATTCACCCACTTACTATCTTGGCAATCATCTTAATAGTGTACTTGTAAGCTTCTGATATATATTCCGTATTTCAGTTAATCTCAGCATTGTTTTTAACATATCTTTTCTTCTGTTCTTTACTTTTCGTATAATTTATATAAGCTTAAATAACTTTTGTTGACGTGTCAATTTAACACCATTTGGAGTGCGTATTCTGTTTTATATAGACACTGCCCACCTAAACTAGCCTTTGCTATTTGTGGGCAGTGAGAAAATAATAATATAATATTATTTATTGTAAAAATGAATTAACCAATAAAAAAATGAAATGAATGAAAATGAGTGCATAATAGAAAGGATGGTAACAAGTGCTTCATAATTCATGACAAGGCACATTGCTCCACACAGGGGTAATGGGCAGCTGTGGTGTGAATGCAGGGCTTGAAATAATGGCTGTTCAATGGACAACGTCTGGTTAAAAATAGGCTTTATCCAGACAAATCCTTGGATTACCTACACCGCAAGCAGAGGTTTCTCTCTTTCATGGTTTTTAGCATTTACGAGGTCGTTTGTGTGGCTTGTCTGTTGTGTGCAGTGGTTAGTTTGTTTACACCCTGTGAGAAACTTTCTCACAGGGCGTAAACAAACTAACTATGCGACAGAAAAGCCACCCAAATGACTTCATAAATGCTAAAAGCCATGAAAGAGAGAAACCTCTGCTTGAGGTAATGTTTTAACTTCTTATAGTAGAATTTAATTCAGAACTTCAGACGTTTTAAATACAAGTTGGACATTATTGGCAATAGAGAAGAAAAATAAAAAGGAGAGAGATTAGATACTACTGAAACACAAACTCTTACAGAATGCTGTAATAAATATTTTCCCGGCAAAAATTTTGTTCTGTCCCGTCAAAAAGGAGAGAGATTAGATACTACTGAAACACAAACTCTTACAGAATGCTGTAATAAATATTTTTCTGGCCAAAATTTTGTTCTGTCCCGTCAAAAATATGTTTGACTGGACAAATTCACTGGTGCAATTCCAAAAATTATTTCAAGCCCTGGAATGGAGCAAAAACTAAGCATATTTCTTGTCAAGACACTAACCTGGGAGGCACTTCTCTCCATGAGAAGAAGCAAGTGCAGGACACTCAACCAGACACAAGTCTGCAACACCCTCCACATGACTGAACCTAAAAGTAACCATGCACAGTTTGAGTAATACTATCATGAACCTTGCTGATCACAGACTGTGCTGAATGCTTCTAACATTTTCATTTACAGTCCTCTGTGGATTTGTCAGGGCTGGTACTAAGGGTCAGTGTCAGGGACTTTCTCCGGCTACTATGAGCATGAAAAAGTTATAGTTGTTTTTAACAGTGTTAATCTGTTCATTTGTAAAACAAAAAACTTATGTTCATGTTTAACTTATGTTATTGTGTTTACAAATCATTACTCTTTAGAAACACTTATTACATTAAATAAAAGCAATTTTCAATTTTATTAATCCACTTTTTTTCTATTTTCTATGTCAGTTTAGTTTTTTATTATTATTATTATTTTGTTGAATTGTAATACTTTAACAGCAATATCATTTCCGTATATGGAAATTCTAATAAAATTGTTGTTGTTGTTGTTGTTGTTATTGTTGCATGAACCCCTGTACTATCATGGGAAGCAAAGAGCAGGGCCCAGTTGTTTGAACGCCAGTAAGCGCTAACCCAGGGTTAAATTTTAACCCGGGTTTCTTTTTCTTTTCATCAAAACCACTATCTCGGGTAATTTTCTGTATTCTTTCTAGAGTATCCAATCATCAAATTGTAGGCAAAGAGAATTAAACTGAATTTGTTTTTTAAGCTCTTATATCTGAGTTCAAATTTTGCACTAACCCAGGGTTATCTTAAAGGGTTATCTTAACCCAGCTTCGAACATCCCGGCACAGGTGTCTAACTCCAGGGGTGGGGGTAACCCCATACAAAAGCATGTGTGTAGCCCCAAGGGGAGGGGGTGCCTTTGTGCAGATGCAGCCATTCTATTATCACTCTAGGGCCTGCTGTTTACCATTATTGAATTATAGAGAGTCCAGGAAGAAGCTTCAATATACGGGTATCTCTTAGGGGTGTGCAGAAGAAGCGGGTCAATGGCAGCTTCTTTATTACTATCAAAATAACTAAAGCTCTTATTTGGCTGTCTGTTTTAGAACAGTATCTTTAGGGGTCAAGGGAAGCATGGGCCATGTCCATATTGGTCTCCTCAACAGGGCTCAAAAAGAAAGGCCCAGCCAGTCATCCCAGTCAAAGCTCGCTTGCCCGATGGGCAAGGGTCCAGGCAATTATTATCCTCCAAAATAATCCTTTAACCCTTTAAGTCCCAATAGTGACAAACAGCAATTTTCTCCTAACGATACCCGTACATTATCATGAGATGAGGTTATGAGAATTAATTAAATGATCACCTAAGAGAAAATACTTTGATCTTTTATCAAATTCTCTCAACTCCTTCTTTAAGGAAATGTGTAGAGATCAGTTTGGAGAATTTGTATGTGGATATTGGGGCTTAAAGGGTTAAGCCCTGGTATTCACTTACAAATTCTCCAAACTGATCTCCATACATTTCCTTAAAGAATTAGTTGGGAGAATTTGATAATAGATCAAAGTATTTTCCCTGAGGTGATCATTTTATAAATCTCATAACCTTTCTTTTGATAAGGTATTGACATTGTTAAGAGAAAATTGATCTTGATCACTCTTGGGACTTAAAGGGTTAAATCATTAGCTAAGACAAGCAAGAAGTTGAGCTGGGCAAGCAAAACATGACAGCTGCTTTCCCAAAGGATCAGGTGGAATTCAAGTTTTTTTTCAAGCTCTGCTCTCAGGGTGTAATTCCAGTTTTCTGATTAGCACACCCTCCTCTTTCCCATGGGATTTCCCTGGGCTCCCTTTGTGCATTTCCTCTTCCTGCATTTTTTTCACCCTTTGTCAAGCACCGTATTTCCGATGTGTCTAATATTTCTTTGATTATATTAGAAAATTATTTAACTTTAGCTGGTTTGAAATTTTGTAGCTTGGTATCTTTCACATCTTACAGCTACCACCCTCTCTGGAGAGAGAGATCATGTCTCCTGCGACTGGAATCCTGTCTCATGACAGGGTTAACTATCAAGTGTCACCCTTGCAAATAGGGCATGTTCAAAAACAAAATAATTTTGTGCATGAATTAAGAGCAGATCATAAACATCATTTCAAAGACACATGCTTTAGACTTAAACTTCAATTTCTCATGAGGAATTATGAAATCTTACCAAGCAAAATGGTGTAAAATCTTAGCAGAAGATGTTTGTAATTGGCTCCTAACAATAATTATTGTAAATACTACATACTGCAGTTAGAATGTGCTCAAGTTAACAATGAGAAATCAACAAACAAATAAAAGCCACATGAACAATTATAAGTATAAAATCTGTGGTGAAGCTAACGAGCTCTCAAGTTGATTCTTCCCACTCCAGACCTACCAACTCTCACAATTCTGCCCTGAGTCTCACAATTTTTTATCTTTTCTCATGGCCTCATGACAAGACTTCCTATCTCATGGTCTTTGGGGAAAAATAATTCTCTAATTAAATGATATCTTGTTGAATGAAAATGGAAATTCAGAGGGAATGCTAGTGCCAGGGTTCGTACCCTTTTTTGAACAAAAAATCCAAGGACTTTTTAAGGACTTTCAAGGAAACATTTCCTATTTTGCAAGGACTCCATACAGTGCAAAAAAGAGCCTTGAGTCTATGTATTTTTCAGCTCTTTCACAACATGAGTAATTTTATCTCGAAGGTCTTTCTGTGTTTTCTCCTTTTCGTTTGGAGTTCTATTTAAACTATAAAGTTAACATTGAAATTCAAGGACTTTCTAGCACTGACTTCATTTTTCAAGGACCTTCAAGCACTCTCAAGGTGTGTGCGAACCCTGTAGTGCCTGTTTAGGCCTTGATGGCAATTTGTCTTACATTTTGCCATGATGTCAGCTTATCCAGAAGAAACGACCCCTTGCTATTAGTTTTGTCCTAATGATGACCTTTTAGAGTCACGGGAGATGGTGGTATCAGAATGCAGTCCAGAAATAAAAGCTTCATTCCTCCTGTGGTGAATCATTTCATCTTGATCAGGGAGAAACTTAAATCTCACTACTTTTTGTAGAATGTGCAGATTTTTTTTTTTTTTTTTTCGTGATCCTCCAGAGTTGTTTTATCAGGGATTGGAAGGTCTGCCGCTTCATCATCACTTACATCCACCCCCAAGGGAGTACTCCCTTATATGGCCTATACAGGGATGTGCCGCTGGACAGGGCATGGTTTTGATCCTCTCTGTCCTAAAAGGGGTACATAATTCTGTGCAAGTCTGTCCCAAACAGGTAATAAATTAAAGGGTTTTGTCCTGAACAGGGTATATATTTTTAGGAATTTTTTGGTCCTACAAAGGGTCATGGTTTGAGACCCTCAGCAGCTCACCTATACCAAAATATTGGTTGAGAAACCCCCCGCCCCCCGACATCCACTCTGTTTCCATGTCACAGTGACCAATGTACCAGCTACAGTACTTCCTTACACTATATCTATCATAAAATTGTACTCAAATTTATGTGGAAAAATCTGAGATGCCGAGAACTTGGTTGCAAATTCAAGACTTAAAAATATCAAAGATCGCCTTTCTAGCTCGTAGGAATCCCACACAAACGAAGACTTGCAAACTCATCACAATGCAAGTGAAATCGAGAGCGGTCAGATGAAAATTTTTCGAGACACTAAGACACGTTATACCGCGTATTATTAAAACAGCTATCCTAGAATACCAAAGATATTAACAAACACTTAAAAGACAGCGCTGTTGTCTGAAAGATTGCTTCCTATGCGTCTGATTTATCTAAAAATTGACCCACCTCCAAAGTTCCATTTCGCCCGCCATTTTGAATCTTCGTTTTGTCCCAGCCTTCCTCGATCATAACTGAATTCCAGTCCAACTCGGTCAAGGCAAAACAGAAAAAAAAAAAATTCGCGCTCTTTCCTAAGAGCTTCTAACCTGAGGTCAGGCGTTATTCTTTTTTCTTTTCTTTTTTTTTTTTTTTTTTTTGGCTTCTCTCTTCTTTGGCTCGAGATGGAAAAAGATAAGCAGATTACAGAGACAAAGGTAGAGGGCATGATCGCGGGCTAGCTCTTTCCCGAAAGTAAATTCTCGGATTTTCTGAATACTTTCCGCCTGCTGCACTTGTATTGTGGTATTCTTTCACCGGTCATTATACACAAAATTCACTTTAATATGGTTGATTGGATTCGTTAAATGTTGGATATTTAAAACAACTCAATAAACCGGCCTAAAACTCTCAAAGAGGAAAATGTCAGAGTTTTCCTACGTACCCTGCGAATAGTTAGCCGCCTCTCTCCGCTCCCTGTCGCTCCCACCCCAGGGGGGGGGGCAACCAACGAGAACATAGTTCAAAACCACTTAAATATACCATTGTTAAACGTATTTTCGTGTTTAAACGGTAGATATAGGCATATTTCTATCCCCGAAAAATTTTTCATCTGTTCGGATTTCATAGCTGAAAGTCTAGTGATCCGAAAATTATAGGGATCAAAACTTACCTTTTCAAAAAAATTCAGACAGAAAAAAGGCTCCCGAAAATTCTAGGTGACCTTTTTAGGGTCAAAATCCGTTAAAAATGGGCAGTTACACCATTTTTTAGATGTTCGAAAATCGTAGGGGAGGCAGGCAAGCAAGAATGTTACAACAAATGTTCCGAAAATTCTAGATCTCAAATCGTCTTCCGAACAAATATTTTCCTAAACTTGACGTTGGGTGCCGCTAACTCATCTAAAATGTCTTATCAGAAGATATTAAAGACGTGCGTATGAGCCTTTAAATCACAAATAAAGTTGAACATGGCCATTTTCTATTGATGTCGCGACACTAAAACTATAAAATCAGCAGAGCGAGCCCGATTCGTAAGTCAAATGGATACAACTGGTCCAATATCCTCCACAATGCTGGACCATCATGTTCGACCTTTTAAATTAAAAAGGGCGCTTTAAGCTCGCGTAACCACCAGTGTTGAATTTTAAATTGTTTGTTAACTAGTAAAGGGGTCAAAATTTGCTACAGTATTTGCTGCGAAGGTTATTTCAGACGGCACTCGGTTCACCATACTACGCGCTCAAAATAGTAAATGACGAGGTGATTACTTGTAGCAATGCACTGAAGAGTGCATTTGTTAAAACAATCAATTGTTCCTTTGTCAGTAAAAGCACGTTCTAGATGACACTAACAACCTCTCTACAAAATAACCGCGGAGTATCCTGTCTGGGCTTGCAAAGAATAAATGCAAAGAAAAAACATCAATTTTATCAGTTAAGATTCATTCGTTCCTACCGCGGAAACACTGAACGTTGATACTGAACACCAAGATAAACTGATGCTAATGGATTGCTATTTTCTTTTTCAGATGGGGTTGGCCGGAAGTTTGCAGTAGCATTCGTTTTCTCTATTATAAGGTGTTTCAAAGTTAGAGAAGCATAACGTAATGTTAATGTTTTTAACCTCAGGAACCAAACACAGTGTAAACACTGCGAAAACAACCCGTTACCAGGTTATCTGTTTATCAAGAAGTGTAGCGTCCAGTACTGTTCTTATGTAACAGAGCGTAACTATTATGGACACGAGATGGTGCACGTATCTTTTAAACTGATGAAGTCACACTTATATACATGATTGTATTTACCAATGCAAATCGCGGAGGAAACAACTTGCTCTCTTGTGTTCTTATTCGATATGAGAAAAAGAGGGCAACTGACTATATGTATATATAAAAAATTTCAGTTGACTGACTTTTATTCATGTTGAATGAAATCGAAATTTTTCACTCAAGTATGGGAAGTCGAAAGCTTCCGTAAACTCAGGGGCACCCAATGGATCTGTTCCTCAAAATATCTGTTCTTCAGGCTAATTTTTGCTGGCTGGGAGATTTGGGAAAAATAATACGTCCTTGGAAGTAGTGTTGCTGGGAAATTTTCCCCTATGACTATACCGTAACTGGCCAGCAATGTCTGTTGGGAAACTTGTTGGTGCGATCTCTTCCATCAGTCTTGCCGGGAGTGGGGAACAGAAAAATGTTTCCCAGCAATCTCCCAAAATGCTTAAAATGGCTTCAGAAAGCTTTATTCATGCTTTGTTGTTATTTTTAGGTCTTTTTCTCAAAATTTGCCTCTGGGTGCCCCTGTAAACTAAACAAATGTCACTTCTAGGATACAACTCTGTCAATGTCTGCGCTTCGATTATAATAACAAAGTTCCGAATAAAAATGTATATTCTCAGAATCATTGCAGAACCAACGTGCCTTACTTCTGGGGAGCTCCCTTAAGAAATCAGATGGGGAGTACGGCATGTTCCCTTAAAACTCTACCGGCTAAATTCCCCGTGCATTACTTTCTAATAACTGTTATGTTTAAAACAAACTTTAGCTCCGTGTTCTATTTTGTCATAAAGCACGCTTTTTCCGACAACTAATCGGAGTGCGCGTTATATCCCGAAACTTTATTATATAAACTTACATAACTTATATAAGGTAGTGCATTCCCCGGGAACTATTCAGGGATTAGAGGAACAAGCCCTGGTCCTTTGTTTTTTGTTTTAAGCTTAAGGTTCTCGATTCACTTTTTATCAATCGAAATTTAAAGTATTTTTGCACATTTACATTTGGTGCGATAACTTTTTTAGTTTCCCGAAAGTCAAACTTAGCACGAAATTTAAAAAAATCAGATTGAAAACAAATCTGTGCCTTGTTTTGTACATTTTACTGTGCGAAGCAAGAAAAGTAATGAATCGACAAAAAACCCTTTTTACTACGCTTTAAATTTTAGAATCGTTTCAACACCTTATAGACGCGTTATACACCGGCACCTCAACGTTTTTGCCGAAGCGCTCTTGAGCAAGGACGAGCTGCGCACTTACAAAATCTGCCAAAGCAGCGATTGCGAGGTGTGAGAGTATTGGTTTTGCACAGAGTTACGCTGAGTGATGTTACAGTAAAATAAACTAAACAAAAGCCAGCACAATATAGAAAGACACCTTGATTCCCAGTTTTACTTTTAAAAATTAAGCCCTACGTGCTCAAATTGCTGTCTTAGCAAAAGAACTCACCTTTCTAGTTTGGATATGTCCTTGGCTCGGCCGATACTAGTCGTTCGCGATAGATTCAAGCCTAAATACACCAATTAGGGAACTAGAAAGCAACAGACCATTCACGCTGAGTGCAACATACAATGATACGATGCCCACACATACGCCAGAAGAAAAGAACCTACACAATCATTCCAACAGCATCATTATGAATTCAAGGCTTTGTTCATCTCTGCCGAAGCGTGTCTAAAAAGAATGAGTTTATTAATCTTTGATCACGGTCTAACATTCCTCGTATACGTAGAAAATTCTACTCTTAACTTTTAAAATAGACTATAGAAGTAGGCTACCTCTTGGAGATAGTACTGCTATAATTATGATGTTTATATGTGCTTGCGTCATAAGTAACCATGCTAGAATAGATACATTGTTTGGTTGGTTTTTAATGACGTTTGGTCCCTTTTTTAATTAACCTCTTCTAACCTTTTAACTCCATGGAATATCAAAGAAGAATCTTGAAACTCTGAAAGCGTCATCAAACATCTTTCTTTTCGGACCCCTCACATGAATGGACACAATAAAGGCATTGGTTTCCGCAATCAAACCGTTAAGATCATGCAGATGAAATAGTTTCAGATCATGGTTCTTGATGTGAAGCGGTGGTACAGCACTTACAATTACCGATTCTATATTATCAATTTGATAATATCTAAAAGCTTTTCACGACATTCTACCCACTCGTCCCTTGACCCAACATTTTGCCCTGAATGAGAATTTAGTGTTAACGTAGGGATCATTGGGGGAGGAGTAGGTGGGCAGTATGTCTGAACCTCATACTGATGTTACGACTCTTCAAGGAAGGGGACGCCTAAACGCAGACTGTATAAACAAAATGGGGCCACAACAGGACAGAGGCCTTCTGTTTAAGAAGTCGACAACAATTTTTCATGATCTATACTCCTATCGACCATAGAAATAACATCAGATTGTTCAAAACTCAAGTGGAACCCTTTAGCCGCGGGCGAGTTTTTCACTGCAAAGTTTTATGAACATTTTGACGTCAGTCTTAGGTCGAGAATAGACCATGGAAATTGTCGTCAATTTGTTTGTTTGTTTGTTTGTTTTTCAATAACATTGACAGTTTAAACATCCATTTCCTTTGAAGTTTCTCGGTAAGAAAAAGAAACACAAATTGCGCCAAAATCAGGTCAGTTTGCAAGATGTACTCTTCTAGACCATAGCTCTTGACCAATCAGCGCGCAAGATATCGCTTAGTCATTGTAAAAACAGACTGCCAGAATAGCTTGGTTTTTGCCCAGAGAAATGTTTTCGTTATTTGCGCCCTTTTTACATCCATGTATTTTCCCTATAGTCCGGTGGGGAATTAAGGGGAGTGGGGTGTGAGGGTCTCTTGGATAATTTAGGTATTGATGTATAGCATGCTTCCTGAACAGCTGACCCTATTATCAGACCCATAAAAGTGGTTTTCACCCTTTTTCAGACCCGAACAGCTGTCCCTAAGATCAGATTAGTGGGTTTACGCCAAAGGACGGCAGGAAGAAGAGGACGGCAAAACACTAGTGTGTGACAAACGTGACAGGGCTATTACTTTGCGTGTTTTGTCGTAATCTTCACTTAACATTAATATGTTCTTGTCTTTTGCAAAAAGATTTGTTTAAAGGAAGGTGACGTTTGGATAAATTTTTTTTCAAACAAAATTATTGCCACGCTTGTCACAGAAGGTTTGCGTCTTCTTTCCTCTCCCGTCCTGTTGCGTAAGTTCACATAATGATATAAAAGGATACCAATTTAAGAACCCTTGTTCTAGAGGTCACAAAAACATACCTTACTTTAGACCCAAGAGGCTAAAATCTATTCCCAGTTTTAAACCAAAAGGGGTCAAAAACATCATAATAAGAAGTTCCCCAGACCCGGGCATGGCCCCATGTGGGCATCAGTTTTCAGTTCTTTTAAACTTGAGGGAAACTTAATGATCTAGGCCAGGAGTTTTAATAATGAATTTCCACCTTTCCTATAATTAATAATTGTCTTATTTAATTTAAAGTTTATTTAGCTAATGAGTGAATGGGCACCTTAAGAAACTACGACGGTGACGGCAAGGGAACGAACGACGGCAGTAGGTTTAGGAAGCAAAATAAGAACTCTGCAGGTGCATCACCCTTTTTTTGTAGATATCTTTGCCGTCCCTTGCACGTGACCTGATCAAATTTTAAGTTTACTCGACAGAAGGAACGGTAACTAAAAGGTGACTCGTACGCAGTCGCTATTTATGTGTTTTTGGGTGACAGGAGACTGGGATTAGATTGAGGTGCGCGGGGACTGATGGGAAGGCTCGTCCCTTCCCGTGAGTCCCCGCGCGCCTTAACTTAACTTCAATCTTCTCTCACTCCAAAAACACATAAATAGCGTCTGAACTACAAGGCGATAAACTGAATTTTACTATCTCTGTTCTGAACTCGGACGCAGTCCCCTCTCTTCAGATCTGACCTAATTTCCCTACTTTTCAGTGACTAGGTGACGTGGAATTATCGAGAGAAAGTTTAAAAAGACGAAAGGTCTACTTTTCAGCGACGTTTTCATTGGCGTCACAGTTGTTAGAACTGTAAGGTCCAACTACGCGCTGCAACATTTCCAATTCTTGATCGAAACAGAAGAAAAAAAAGAAAAAGGAGAAGAAAAATTGCACGCAAACTTAGATCTGGCAGTCGTGTCAGCAAAATATAATACCATTAGGTTTGTATTTATTTCATATTTGTAATTACATGAATAAAATCCCTGCAGGACATTTCCACATACTCTGCGACAACCTGTATAGAATGTATATGGTGCTAATACTGGCGGCATAATGAAGATACCCCCTTTGGGAATGGGGACTTGGTGAAGTTGGAAACAAAATTAATTCTTGGCGCTTCAGACTTCGATCAAGTACTTACAAAAGGCTGGGAGTTTGATAGAGGAAATAGGATATCTGGTGGTGTTAGTCTTACACGATAAAACTACAATTAAGCCTTTAAAAAATACGATTTGCAGCTGTTTTTAAAGAAGGCTTTCAACCATTTCAGATTACACTTGTTCTCCTTCAGAAAGACGGCTTGTCTTCGCTAACTATCGAATCTCTCGAATCCTTTCTACTCAAAAGGGATATGAAATCGGCGGATAAAAAAAATATTCGGGCAGAAGAATTTAGTTTTATTTTTATGCAAATAATTCAGGATATTTTCATCAGAAAGCCAGCCTCACAAAAGATTTCGCAACGCAGCACGGAGCTAAATTAGGCAACTAGCAAACTCCGTAAACATAAAATGGAAATTTGTTTGTTTTTCCTGTCAGCTTTCCTCGATGAAAAAGGTAGCTCTTACGTATTTCCGTTCAAACCTTGTCGGGGTTATAGCCGTTTGTCAAAACTTAACTCCGGGTGAGACGAAAAGCACCGTATGTATTTTTACAGAGGAAAATAAAATAAAAGTTGCTATTTTTTTCCTTATTGTCAGATTCAAATTGATTGACTGACTGAAGAAAAAATCGTATAATACGATTTCCTAACCGGGCTTACGTTGATGTTTCGTTTTCATTTTATAGTCGATGACCAGAAGAGAAAAATATTTATATTAAAAAGGAGTATTCATCATGGAGCGCTTGATCCAGTTACAAATACAGGAGGTCTCAACCGGGGACAGTGGCAACAAAAAAGAAGAAGAAACAACAAAAAATAGAAAAGACAGTTTGAAGGGAAAAAAGGAAGGCAGCACGTAATAATCTGCAAGATTTTTACGTTTTTTTTCAATTAGTTCCCCTATCACATTAGATAATCAAGACGTTTACTTTGATAACCTGTCTACAATAGCTAGTTTTGTTCCTTTATATGATTTGTATTTAACTCTATTGTTTACTATTACAATATTAATCGAGAATTTTTCTGTATTAGCTTTCCTTCACTATGACCAATCAAATGGCAGAGTTTTATGGCAGATGTCCAGAATCCTTTATTAACACTGCACGAAAACGAGGCTGTTTGTACGCGGCGCGTACTGTAATTAACTTGACTGATCCCATCGTAGTCTCTAAGCATTATTCGTTTGGCATATCTCCTATTTTATGGCGCCGCCACTGCAAAGGTATACTCCGGAAACTCTTGACACTTTAAATGTTACAACATGACATTTTTCAGTCGCCACACTTTAAACGTTTGCGTGAACTAAGTTTGCCATGTTAACCTCTAGTTTTGGTTCTCGTTTGCTTTAAGATCGCCTGAGCTTTTCTCAGGCCGATTCTACGCAAATACAGTGCTGTAGTCATGACGGAGATAGGAAACTTGGTTTATATTTCCTTCATACTGTTCTTACGTTTCTTGGTCAATTACTCCTCGGCTGTAGATGTTGGTAAGTCAAAACTGTCTGGTCTATAATCGCCAATATTTTACATTTGCTTGGCAGCGTTTTTTAATTTTTATAACATGTTATGGCAGGGTATTTCCTTTGGTACCCTCACTGGCTCTATGACGCACATTTAGTCAACAATATGTCATCTACTAAAAGAAAAGACGGCCGCGTGAGAATGACGAATTCCCGCCGAATGTCAAGGGTATAAAAAGGGCAAGAATTGCCGCACCATAAACCGCGTCCATCTTTAACCCAACATAAAAATTGCCGTTTGTTTGTTGTAATTTAGCAAAATTTTGGTTTTCAAAGCTAAGAGCAAAAAGTTACAAGTATGAGTTTTCTTTGGCAACGACCCGATAAAAGCTTTTTTCCATAATTACTCCACAAAATGGCTTCAAAAAAATTAAACGCAGAATTTTTGTTTTCCTTTCAAAGCCGCACACCAGCGGAGATCTAATTTATCTGTTTTTAAGTTACTTAGCCTGAGAAATTGTATATTTTTGATAGATAATGAATTTGCATTTCGAGAGAAGTACCTTGTTTTAGTTTGCGTGGATGCTCGCCTACCAGCGGACGACATTTTTAAAATGCATCACATATAATTTGGGTTTTGTAATAAAGCGTTGTAATTATTGTTTTCTTAAATACAGGACTCAACTAACATGAACATCAAGCCAGCCATTCATAATCCCTTATATGTCGGTTAAATCTTGAAAATTCTAGAAATCCAAGACAAAGGCAAGAAATGCCTTAACCTCTTTTGATAAACCCGCTAATTGTACCAAACTAACTGTTTGGCCTTTTCACACCATTTTAACCCAAAAAAATATATTCGTCTTTGAACAAAAGTATTTGTTATCAGGAAGGAAAAAACATGTCACTCTATTTTTCTTTATTTTTGCAATTTATATGAAACTGAAATTTCTGGATCACTAGCATCCCAGACGGCTAAAGTTCTTTCAAAACATCTGCGGAGTTTAATGAATAATAGGTCGAGGACTTCAACTAGGTAATTTCGTTTTATCTGAAGATATACTAGTTTGTCCAAAATAATCGTCAAGTGCTTTTGGACTATTAATTTCAAAATTCCTCTTAGAAATTTTTACCTAAAATGGCGACTCTCGAATAGGAATCAGTATGTGAGTTAGATTATAAGAGTATTTATCTCCAAAAAATAAGAAGACCCTCTGAAAACAACCTAGATACCTCTGCCAACAGCAAGCGATTCACAGGAAAAAAAACATCGCGGTCCTCTACTTTTTGTTTGAATTCAACCCTACTGAATATCATTACTAATTTTCGACTTTGTTTTTAATCTCTTCCTTTTTAATCTCTTCCTTCCTTGTAGAAAATCTCAAAATTGGTTGCTTCAAAGAGTCGCCTTCAAACAGACATTTCCGCATCTCGCCCGGGGATTACAAGACTTGGAGCTTAACACCATATGTCTGCGTAAAACTTTGTGGAAGTTTGAGATACAAATTTGCTTCCCTACAAAATGGCAATTTGTGTTTCTGCGCCGACAATTTTAATGTTTCGCAAGAGGCAAGCGTAGATTGCACTGCAAACTGCACAGGAGACATAAGTTATTTGTGTGGTGGAACATGGGCTAATTTAGTATACAATTCTACCTCGTACGGGAAAAAGCTCGTTATAAATCATCTCGGTCCGTTGAGGATTTTTGAGTGGGTAAATATGTCCGCTGTTTTAATGAATGATAGTGCTCTAGGATTAAAAGTATCGTTTAATATTGGAGATGAAAATGGTGACTCTCCCGGAGACAGCGCAGTTTTTAATTTCAAGGCATCGTTTTGGGGGAGAATAAATGTTAAAGCTCGACTGCTGAACATTGGCCCTGAGTTGGGTTATAGCCACCGAGAGTTGTACATCCATGCTATCCCAGGACGAGCAGAATTAAATTGTCCTTCCGTGGCTCGTACGGGACATACGCTTCGCTGCGTGGCAAAGATTTACGAAGGAACGAACCTTCAGGCAACATGGACGTTTAAAAACGGAGATATAAAACACATTTTATTACCAGGTAAACTAAAACTGATATTTGCTTGGTTATTGTTAGTTTTTCATTTATTTCGTCTTTTATGTGTTGCGAAAGCACCTCGATTTGACAAGGGACTGTCAAAGTGGTACGCTCATACTGACACTCACGACGTATTGTGAGAAACAACCTTGATTAAATTGAAAGGGCATTCAAGCTGAGCACACTCGTTCTTTTTTCCCTTGGATTGGTTGGCAAACCATTTAACACTCCTTTTAAACAAAAAAAGTTGAAAATTACCAGCAATACTAAAAATCAATAAACAAGACGACCGCTAAGCGGTTAACGCTCGATTCAAAATCAGATATGTTTTGTATAGGTAGCAACCATACGACTCCGTTTTAATGTCCAAAGTCAAATAACACACAGACTCATGTTATTAAAATCCATTTCATATGTTTGGCATTTTTTTCGTTCATTTGTTGTATTTGCAAAAGGCCAATCTTGTTTAAATTATTTGACAGTTCAGATACATTGCCGGCGAACTTAACCATGGCTTATCTTCCTTTTCAAATTCAGAAAGCATGCACAGCGATAACAAAATGAATTAAAAAGACAATAGCCTCATTTCATACAGACTTTGTAGTGTTATTCTTAATCTTGTTAAAACCTTAAACATAACAAAAGAAATGGAAATTATTTTGTACAGGTGGAAGCCGTAAACTGGTTTTTTGACATGCAAATTTAGTGAGGAGATAGCGCAATAAAGCAGCTTTGTCTTCGCGATAACGATAGCACCTCAAAACAAATATAACAAATATAAATAAGCAAATGAAAACTGTTGGTAGGGACTAAAGTGATATAATGATATCAGTGAATTTCTACAAGGCTCGATTAAAGCCGCTGTTCAGGAAAATGAGCCCGCACTTATCTCCCCGAAAGCTAAACAGCAGCAAGAAAATCAAAGACCACAGGCCTCCTAAACTCACTATATGTGATCGCTTGTTAAAGATTAACACAACTGGCAGTATTGCGTGATGTAACGATTCATAGAGATCATCTGCAAACAGTTTTATTTCAAAATAAGTCGCCTTATATACCACTTATTAACCGAGAGTGAGGTCATTACAGGGAAATCTCAGATCGAGGCCTTGATGTATAGACCGGTCAATACATCAAGGCTGAGGTCTGAGATTTCCCTGTAATAACCGAACAGAAGAGATTAATAAATTGATTATTAAATGGCTTTTTCATTGTGGACTTGAGACTACGATCAATCAAAACCAAAAACTGGTCACCTCAATGAGTTGTACACCGGTTGTAAGCTCCTTCTGCGACACCTGTGCAGAGACCGGACTCAAGAGAATGGCGGAAATGGAGCCTAAATCTCTGCTAAAGGCCTGTTGTTAAATGTACGAACAGCAAACTTAAGAAGCCTACTTGAGATTTTATCTAGTCCACAATTCTTGGATGCACTTAATTTTTATATCAAACGGTATACGTGTTCTTCAGTCACAGGAGTAAACGCAAACTGTGTAGATGCCCCACTGTTAATGTATCGTTCCGGGAAGTAGCTGTAACTGAAATGTTCTTGGCCAATTTTTCTTCCAGGGAGCAGAAATGTTGATTCATTTTTATCAATATTTCTAAAACTCGTTGATAATTCATAAAAAAATACAAAGGAATTTAAGTTTAATGAGTGTTTGGAAATCAAATGAAAAACTGCTCATTTTTGCATCCTTAATTTCTCTTTCTAAAATCATTTTGTTTGAGAAGTAATATCAAGCATTCAACACAGTGTTTCATCAACAGATGAAATGTCCCGAAGTTCGTCATAAATACTCCGCTGCGCGTCGTATTTTTAACTCTCTTCTCGGTGTTTCATCTGGTGATGAAACACTGTCTCATTCTTGAGTGATATTATATAATTGACACCAACAAAAAAGCTCACTTATCAACGTTGTCTTAGTAGTTCGACCCTAGCGTACTGTTAATTAGCTTCAAAGTTCCTCTTACATCACCATGGTTGCAATTGTTTCATGCCATTCCATTGTCTCATTCTCAATTTCATTTTCATTCTCATTCTCTCCCCAGATCCCCTGTACGTGCGTGCTGGCCCGGCCGTACCTCAATGGAGTTTATCCGGATTAGCTTCCTCATATAACACAGGAGTGTTTTTGCTTCCCAATTCCCAGTTTACCTCCGAGGCAAGGGTTTTAGCTCTGGAAATCTACGGACACACAGCAGGGGACATCAAAGTTTTTGTGAGTAATTTTCAGTTATTTATAACAAAAGAAACTGTCCATTACCTTGAAGTAGTTAGATGCAGGCCTTCGCCGCTGTTTTTTGGTAAATAACAACGTGATTTCATGTAAATGGTAAACAACCCTTACCCTGTTTACAGTCAAGTGACTATCAAACAAAACTCTCTCATTTTCCCTTTCTTGTTACTATTCTAGATCATGAGACCGATCTGTAACAAGCCCGCCCAATACTTCTGTCCATCAAACATGTCATGTTCTCAGCAACCTTGCCCTACCTACCTCTCCTACACCTGCTCATCTCCCAGCGTCCTCTGCGCTTCCAAGTCCTGCTGTAACCAGCCTCCGAGTGAAAACTGCTCTCAGGTGTTCTCGCCAACAAATCTTTCGGCTGATTCGTTGATCATAGCAGCTCACATCGGAGTGTTGGCGATCCAAACAGGTTACAACCTTCATGTACTTCCCAAGGATCAGAAAGTGAACGTTTGGCCTGGAGATATGATAGCTTGGGGACCGACAGCAAATGGAAAAATTGCGCAAAAAATGGGGGGAGGCACGGTGTATCACTTTTCATCATTGGATGCGCAGACACTTCAAAGTGGAACAAATGTGTCGGTCAACCAATCACAATTGATTATAAACTTGACGTACCTGGTCAACATCATTGGATCTCAGGCTGCTATGTTCGAATTCAGCCATCAATTTAACTCGTCTGGGATGTACTGGGCCCAAGTCAAAGTTAATGATACTTTCGGAAATGCTTTGGCGCCAATAGTTAAACCATTCCAAGTACAGGATCCTCTTTCGAAAATAAAAGTTGTCTACCGGCCAGGGTTTTCCTTTTTTGGCGCTAAGGTAAACGAAGAAATTGAACTAATTGTTAATATCACCTCTGACGAGAATATAACGGTATCTTGGACCCTTGTTAACTCCAGTGGATTAATAAGACATGAAACTTTATTAAGTGAAGAGAGCAGTTTTGTTATCGACAGGCTCAACCAGACGTTTTCAAGCTTAGGAACGTACGTTTTTTTGGTCGAGGCTGCCAATAACGTCAGCGTTATAAACAGTACAGTGTTGGTCCACGTTCAAGACGCTCTAACTGATCTTGTTGCCTTTGTGATTTCGGACAAAGTCTTTCTTGGTGCCTTGACAGAGCTGAATGTGTCGGTAAGCGGGTCCAATGCCAAGTTCAAATGGGACTTCGGCGACGGTTCCGGGACGAATTACATTTCAAACACAACTGTCTTTCATCGTTTCTCTGAGACAGGACCTTTAAACGTCTCCGTAATTGCTAATAACCTAGCATACACAGAGAAAAACTGGCAAACTGTTCACGTGCTAAACCCTCTAAGTATATCTGTTCCATCAAAGGGTGAGGTCGGTGTGGTCATTAACGCGTCTTGTACATTAATTGGATCCTTTCCGTCAGACCAGTATTACTACTGGGATTACGACGATGGCAGCACAGAGGAGGGTCTTAACAAAGTCCAGGTGACTCACAATTACAGTAACGGAGGAACCTACACAATTTCAGTCAAGCTAAGAAGTGAGGTAAATGTAAACGTGAGCTCGAAGATTCTTGTGCTAGAGCCAGTCTCGGGTCTAAAGCTTAACAACATCACTGGAATAGAACTCTTTGATAACAAGACTTTCACAGCCCACACAAAAACAGGAAATAATTTAACATCTGAATGGTACTTGTACAGTAACAATAGCATGATTATCATGGTTTGCACAGATAACAACAACAACAACAATCAATCGATCGAACTCTCCTTCAACTCAACAGGAGTATACACTGTAAGTGTCAACGTCTCAAACTCCGTTTCCTTTGAATTTGCCTCGATAACTTTCTCTGTTCAAGAGCGCATTTTGGGACTGAGTATCACTGCTTTCCCGAATCCTGCGCCGTCTAATTCCACAATAACTTTTAACATCACAAAGGGTACCGGAAGTGATGTCAGATATCGTCTTGATTTCGGTGACGGATTTGTCGCACGGGATTTTCCACCGAACTATCTTTTCAATCGGACATTTCTTTCCGGTCGATGGCAAATCATCTTGACTGCTGAGAACGCTGTCAATCAAGTGATTGTTTTTTACAACGTGACGGTACAAGATCCTTTACAAAACATAACTGTAGGTGTCGTTGCTGAATCTGAATTTCAGGGCCAAAAACTTGTGGCAGTTGGAACAGACACGATTTTTTACAGCAAAGTATACGTGGGTACTGACGTATATTTCCGGTGGAATTTTGGAGATGGAAGCACCATTCGTACCTATAAAGGCTCAAAACTGCTAACAGGAGAGAGTAATAACTCCGTCGGACACTCGTTTGCGAGCACAGGCCAGTTTAACATCACTATACAAGCTTATAACGTAATCAGTCAGCTCAAAGCCTTGGTTATAGTGCATGCGCAGGAAAGAATCGAGGGGTTTAAGTTGGAAGTTAGTGATCATGCGAGTCCTGGGAAACAGATAACATTTCACTTTTCGCAAACTAAAGGAAGCAATGTAAGCTATATAATCAACTTTGGTGACGGGGAACCAAGTCAAGCCATCACTTTAAATTCCTTAGATAAGACTTATAACAGTGAAGGTGTGTTCAATGTCACAGTTAAGGCAGCCAATCAACTAAGCTTCCAGAGTGTGATAAAAACAATTTCAGTGCAGCGTCAGATTCAAGGCCTCGCTTTCGTGCATCCAATCGCTGCTGCTGAAATTGGTTTATCTTCAGTTATATCATGGAGTATCAGTGACGGCAGTGACGTAAAATTTGAAATCAACTATGGTGACGGAAGCGCGCCTCATGTTCTGGACGCCGTCGATGCCGGAACAAACGTCACCGTGCGTCACAACTACACGTCATGGGGTGCGTATATAGTCCAAATCACTGCGTATAACTTAGTGGGACCCAATCGTACAATTACAGGGAGTGCCATGGTAGATGAAGCCATAGAGGGCCTCTCAGCGCACGCCGAACAAAGTACAATTCAGTTGTACCAAAGTGTGGTTATCCTTGCGTCAGTTTTGAAAGGGAGTCGTATAACTTATGAGTTTCAATTTGCTGATGGTTCAAATGACGTGCAAACATCAAATAACACTGTTTCTCATCAGTATAAGAAACACGGCCAGTTTAATGTCACAGTCACCGCTAGGAATTCTATAACTACTTTGAAAACAACGCGACTTAATGAGACAATCACGGTAGAGAAGCCAAACACGCCGCTGGAGATTCGCGGGCTCAATGTATCCTGCAAAGCAACCACTCCTGGGAATGCAAGCAAAATTCTCATCACCTTTGATTATGGTTTCTTATTTCAATGCCTGGTTGATTTTGGCGACGGGAACAAGGAAACGTTCAATGACGAAAATCTAGGAAACCCTGTATTACATACTTACAGTGATGTGGGTAGTTTTGATGTGACTGCACGCTGTGAAAATCTGTTAGGAGGTGACGTCGTCCATACAATTGCGCAGATAGACGAATTTATCACTGGATTAAGATTTAAGACCGGAAGTGAAGTAATTAACACAAAATTTGGTCACGATGTTACTGTTGAGTGGATCTGGGAAACGGGTACAAATATCGAGTTCAGTGTCACGCTATCGGGTCATGGCTCTATTCCAAGACAACAAACCAGTAAAACAGGCTCTTTGACGTTAAACCAATCATTATGTCCCAACCCAGGAAAATATGTCGTCAACATTGAGCTGTCGAACTCCGTCACGTCTCCACAAAGCTTGCAGGCTACAGTCACCTTTTTGGAGGAAATATCTGACTTAAAGATCTGGTATAATCCAGTAGTCAGGACCGGTAGTAAAGTCCCGATCATTGTCTCCGTTGAATCAGGATTAGATGTTAAAGTTCTTTGGAAATATGGTGATGGGGTTGATAACCCCCAGAAAACCAAAGGCTTTGGGAAGCAGACGTTTGTATCAAGTCATGTATATAATATACAAGGAAATTATGAACTAGAGGTTGAGGCCTCAAACGAAAATTCTTCTAACAAAACTAAACGTACCGTAACAGTTCTCGGTGCCGTTAAAGGATTTTCATTCCATCAGCAATATAAGGCAGTTTGGCCGTCGAGGAACATGACGTTCCAATTTAACAGAGAATCGTTGCTTCCGGAGCTTCTCAACACAACATACTGCATCTATTTTGGCAATGGCGAGAAATCAATGGACATACTGGTTGAGCCTGCGCAAACGCAGTTTAGTTATAACTACTCTTACTCCGCACCGGGGTGTTACAATGCTAAGCTGATTATACGGAATTTCGTGAGTCGTGTCGAGTTATCGGCACCTGTTGAAATCGTACAGCCAATCAGAAACGCCAAACTCAAAGCCTTGAATTCGAAATACTCGGCTCGTCCGGGAACTCTGGGTGGAGGCTCAACTCGGAACACCTTCCCGTTTGAGTACCCAGTATCCTTTGCGATTTCGCAAGACACGGGAACATGCTTGAGGTATGATTGGTCATACGGGGATTTCCATGAATCGCAAAACGTCACTGAAGCTGTTACTACGCATGCCTATCCACTGCCTGGGAATTACAATATTACGGCTAAAGTTTATAACCGCTTGGGAGAGAAGATTCTGAAAGTTAATATAACTCTACAGCATACCGTACGGGGTTTGTATTTAGCGGCCAATGCTTCAGCAAGACCCGAAGAGAGTATCACTTTTGTCGTGTTTTGTTCGAGCCTCGGAACGGATTCTCAGTTTGTTTTCAATCCTGGTGAAGGAGATAACGTTACTCTCAACCGCAAAAAATTTAAGGATAACTCCAAACTAAAAGCGGAAAATAACCTCGACCCTAATATCAACTTGCCGTTCACTCCTTCAGATTACTACGCACAGGTTCACAGTCATAGGTATACAAGAAAGGGATTGTTCGAGGCGCAAGTGTGGGCCTGGAACGAGGCATCCCAGCAATCAACTCGTTCTTCAGTTGCAGTAACAGATGAGCCAGTCCCAGTCCCCGCGGTGCAAGTGACGGGAGGCCAAAAAAACTTAACAAATATCAAGCCTTTTTTGTTTGGAACGCGATTTTCTCTTAGCTCTAGCGTGGGGATCTCAAGCAATAAAAGCTTCAAAGTCAACTTTAAATGGGTTGTGTTTAAAGCCGATTCATATCATAGCCCTGCAGCTTCCGTTCACATGCAGCTACCTCCGGAGACAGCGAGAGAATTGAAGTAAATAAAACGCACTTTACTTGAGCAATGTAATTGTATTTGTAATTGCAATGGTAATCGTAACCGTAGTTGTAATCGTAATCGTAATTGTAATTTCAATGGTAATCGTAATCGTAATTGTAATTGCAATGGTAATGGTAATGGTAATCGTAATTGTAACAACCCACGTTTGATATATTAAAATTCCAACACGACTCCGAGGCTTTAGCGACAAAATTGCAACTTTTTCACGACTCCATTGTCTCGCAATTACCAGAAGAAAGAAAACCAAACCAAATATAGAAAAATGACCGGACAGCCTCATAATCATGTTAAAATTTTACTATACCGAACGTGGGATTTTGTAATGGAGACGAGACCACCATTTCTAGGCGTTCAACCGAGCCACGCGAAGGTCTAGTCGTTGAAGGTCAAAGTCAGCACCCTCAGTTCTCAAATAGCAAGCAAACATAGTATTAGCTTTTCTTTTTAACCCCAAGAGTTTCAAAACCGATACCTTATGGAAAATGAAAAAAATAATAACAATTCCGTAATCTGATAGGCTTTCTCAGTTTCACTACGAAGAAGAAATTGCTAAGACCATACAGTTCGCGTTTCAACTGATAACAGAGCTCTCAAAACGACTTTCCTTTGTTTAATTTATTTCACTGCTCGAAATAGATGGTAAAATAGCATCTTTTTGAAATCAACATATCAGATCAAGAGCTCCTGGGGGGGGAGGGGGTGGATGCATTTTGTTTTTTGCCAAACTTCACTGATAAATTGTTTAAAAAACTCTTTTCTTAAGTAGAAAATGATCAGTTTTGAGGTAGAGTCCTGGCTTTGATGCACTCGAAAACGTTTACAAGGAAAAAAAATTCTTTTTCATCTTTGCAGTCTGTCTTCTGATATTATCACGGACCAGTCCTCAATTTCGATTCCCGCGTTAGGCCTGGGCCCTGGCGATTACATCTTCCAGCTCACTGTCTCAATATCCGACGTCGGTGTAAATAACGCGGACTACACCTTCGTTAGGATCGCAGACTCAAACATCGAAGCCCGCATTGCCGGTGGAGATTTTAGGTCACATGACTGGGGCCAATGGCTCGTATTGGCTGCAACCAAATCGATCGACCCACTATCGCCAGAAGACGACAACTTGAATCACGCTTGGTTTTGCAACATTACCAAAAATGATCCTGATATTATTGCACCGAGTTCTGATTGTTTTGGAAATGGAGAAAATCAAGTTGAATTCGAAGGCAAAGTCTTCAAAATCGCACCGAGAAGCCTTATGGAGGCTACAACTTATGCGTTCACTGTAAAAGTCAGTTCAGCCAGCACCGGCCGCTGGTCAACAGCAACGCAAGAGGTGAAAGTGTTGATCGGGAACCCGCCAGATATCAAAATACGGTAAGCTATGACAGAAACCCCATTATAAAAAACCAAACTATATTTTAAAAAGTCCCTTATAAACTTTACATCATTGTAGAGGCAAAAGGCCACGATAATACCAAAGCGAACAACTTCCATGTACCCGAGTCACGGTGTTTCCAGCAAACCAGCAGCAAATGCTAAAGACCTGCAAATAGTATATTTTGACCTTTTAACGACGTTCAGTTTTCCCTTTGATATGTAATTCTTCAAATGCGCTTATAGATATAGATGAAGCGGAGGTTCAGTTCCTCGGGAATACATTTGGTCTAAAATGTATCTTAAAATAAACCGCTCCGTGAAAAGGTTACATAAGAGTGACATAGGAGTTACTCGCTCTGGATTATGGTCTCCTGATAGGGGCTGTATTTATTACAATGATGTACTTATGATCATATTTTCAGTACTCTAAAAGAAAATATTGTGACCACTTAATGCTACTATGATGGAATTTACAGAAAAGGTTTTTTTTTTATTGGATCCTATTCTAGTTGTGAGTCCAATTGTGCAACATACCTAAATCCTTCCAGGAGAATTATCCTCACGACCACGTGTCTTAACTGTGATGGCATCAACCAAATCAATTATAACTGGTCAGCAGAAGACGTAAAAGCATCTGCACCTTTTCCAATATGGCCCGACCGAGCCCTCACGCCACGAGACTCACAGAATGCGGTCATCCTTGGGAATACATTTGACAGTGGTGCTTCGTACAAGATCCTAGTCATGGCCTCCAGATCCAACTCAGGTTAAACATGCATAAATACATTGTTCACTTCTCGTAAAGAGTATCTTAGTAACTTAGAACTGCTTTATTAGAGCTACTGAAGTGATGCAAACTTTGCTTCAACTCTTGTAAGCATTTTTGGCCAGGGTCTTGGTGTTGCCGATGGCGCGATCACGAAAAATTGAAACTATGGAATAATACCTTCAACACAGTAGTTTCGAACAGTAGTTTCGTTCACGCCAAGAAACAGCCTGCATTCATGGAGCTAGCTTCCGGCTAATGGTGTAATAATCATGTCCCCTCTGATAATAGTACTCGCACTTTCAATAACTTTTCAAAATTAGTCATTCGCTATGGGAGGCAATTAATGTTTAGTTTTTACAAACTTACGCCGGATACTCAAAACAAAATCATATACTCTTTCAGAAGTCCAAGGATTCGCCGAATATAACATCCAAACCAATGATCCACCTAAAGATGGCTCGTGTGAGGTTAAACCCATTACTGGCGAAGAGCTCAAAACAAGATTTAGGTTTTCTTGTAGCGGCTGGCAAGATGATCACGAACCGCTAACCTATGAGATGTTTTACTCTTACCCACGTGACAGCAAAGACCCAAGTTCCTCCCAAAATGGCGTACTGTTCTTTCTTGGTCCTTCTGCAGAATCAGCTGAGTGTTTATTTCCAGCCGGCAAAGAAGAGGACAGGCACTTCATTGATGTCGTGGTGAAAATTAAAGACGCATATGGGGAGTTTGCGCTAGACAACCTGACAATACAAGTAACAATTTCTTTGTAATGATGAGTGCTTTAATATTAGCGACCTCAGATTCGGCTATGGCGGCTAACACTGAAAGCCTTCAACGGGCTTTGGGAAACTAGGGAAAGAGACCATTTATTTTTGGGGGAGCAAGGGGTATATTTTGAAATCACTATTAGGGGACAAGAGAACTATTGAGATTTTTAGGGAACATAGAAAACGGGTATATATTAAGGTCTCTCATAAGACCCCTAACACCCATGAACCGACCAAAGTTTTAAACATTTGTTTGAAAACTTGTTTGCACTCTGTTGAGTGTGATTTGGTAAGGTGTTCACCAAAAGAGAGTTTCGTATCTTTTCTAGAAAGCTGTAATTGTGTTAAAACGATGAGGTTAAGTTCAGTGATTTTTACCACACTGAAGTTCAAGGTGCCTGGATATGAAATGGATCTGTTACAATACTTGATTGTCTCATATGCTTCTCAAATTGATGAAGAATTTTTAAAGAAATCACGTTACGGCGATCATAAGGATAACATTTCCAGGCTCCTTCACCAATTCTTTTTCCGTTGTTTTGTCGACACTACCAACTAATTAAAATCTTATGAATTTTAGAAAGTACGTAGAAATTGCTTAAATTTTGTTCTCCTTCTTGTTGTTGTTTTTTTTTTTTCAGGTAAAACCGAGGAATGTGAGTCTAAAAGAACTGAAAAGCGAGATACTTGAACAGGGAAACCAAATCGAAAAGGCATTAGATTTAGGAGCAGATATCGTCGCCGTACAACTCATAAACGTTATCAGCAACATACTCAACAGTAAAAATGACACCAGTAGCAATTTCCAGATAGAAAACCAACAGGTAAGTTTACGACAGGATAATACTACTCTTCGAGGAACGGGGTATCTCCATATTTAATTCGTATATAGGTAATCTGGTATTAGACTATCTACATCACAGCGCCTAAGTAGCTACTGTAGCTGTAATTATAGATAGTGCCACATTAGTTAGTAATGAGTTTCCTAAGCCTTCTTGAAGAGTCTCTTTCGGTATCGTCATAGCCCGCGTAGCTGACCGGATTTTTGTGCCCGGGGTACTTTCTTGGCGGTGGAGAATCTTCACGCAGCTCCGCCGTCAAAAAAACTACAGCACTCGCTGCTTATCCCACCAGCTGCGCAGCGTAGCGTCGTCATGTCTCACGGTAGGGTCTAGCTTTAGCCTGGTCGCGAGCTCGACCATGCTGAAAGATGGACGCGGCACTAATTAGCGACCTCATAATTGAGGGTGTGGCCGCTTAATTGAGGAACGACGGCAATCAAAACCGCAAGAATCATCTGAACTCGATAACCGTTTATTTTCAGCTTCGTCTAAAGATGATCCAGTACTTGGTCAACTTTCAACCTCAAAACCTTGGAGACCTGTTAATCGGGTCCCAGACTCTCCAGGCTGCGACTGGAGTCGTCAAGGAGATAACAGTAGAGGCGCAGGTAAGAGAAATGAGCCAAAACAGGAGCCCCCTGGCCAAAATGTTTAGCTTTCGTTAACGTTAATGCTTAGGTAGTGACTGGGTGGACTGCGGTAAAACAGAATGAGAGACCTAGGAGAACGTCACCGTTAAGAAGAAGTACTATAAAAATAATATATAGATTTAGCCAAAGGCCAAAAGTGAAACTCTTATGAGGTAAAGTTTTGTGAACCTGCGACCACTTGAATATGATAACTGGTCAGCGGACAACTTTAAAAAACTCATCACCTCAATAAATTGTACACTGTACACCCGACACACTCATTTCAGACTGGTCAGCGGGTACCCAATTTTGACAGCTGTCAATTGATCATAAAATGTATTTCCATTATCAAGTTAAACGGAAATACGTTAGAATTTAAGCAGTGCTTTTTTATAACCGTGAACGAAGAAACTTTTATAATAATGAGGATATCCAAATCTTGCTGTTTTAACAAAATTGCACATAGATAAAAAGGCACCAAATGTGAAGCAAATTCGCCCAACTGAGACACGATTTGGTCCGCCCGCGTTTCATTTAGTAGAGAAAGAAGTGTGAGCTTTGTTGAGCAAAAGGAGAAGGCGTACAATCCCGAAACAAATAACTTGCTAATTGCCCGATACTAGTGAAAGTGAATTACATGTAGTGTTTTTATAATGTTTGCTTCATTGTATTGCTGCGCTCTCTCTTGTAAGGCTCTAGCAACAAAGCAGTATGCCAGCATGGTTCACACACTACTGAAAAAGGCCCAGGGTGGAGAGGATGGGGGAGCCATTGAAAAAATCTCCAATGAAATGCTGAACGGGTTATCAAATCTACTGCTTTCTTCTTCGGTCAGTTACTCTGATAGTTCAAAGGAAACAGCCGATAAAGAAATAGCAGAGGTAGGATGGATTATATACGTCGTCATCCGTACACATCCATATACGTCTAGACATACATATACGTATGGATAGACATCTCGTTGGCCCAGGCAGCTACATTTCAACCAGTATACGTCATCCACATATATATAACAAAACAAACGTAAAGCGCGCGCTCTGATTGGCCAATTTCCCATTTACTATTTGCCCATGGGTGAATGGTGACAAAACCTGGCGCGAGCTTAAAGCTTTCTACGCGACTCTATTTTCTTTCCCCTCATAGCCTGCAAAGATTTGAAAAGACTACTGTTGAATATAACGTAAAAGGTTTTGTAATCCACAATGAGACGGAGAACTACTTAATAATTCAGCAAAACGATATTTTTGAAAGAAAAGAATTTGTAATAAATGATTTACACACGCCATAGTGCGAGCAGATACTAGAAGTCCCTCGTTCCCCTGCAATCTGTAAGGTAAATTAAAAGTTTTTCTCTTTTGATTATGATAAAATAAATGGTAGACGGCTCAGCGTGTACTGTTGAGTTCTTGTTGCACTTGACTTGGGAGGATTGCTAAGCGCAAAGGAAACGTAACAGTCGACGAAAGAGAGCTTTAGATTCTAATACAAGGATGACTACGAGAACGAGATTTTCTCAATGCTAAGTAGTGCACGCGTTCGAACCAAAGTCGTTTTGGCGGGAAAATGTGATAGCCGTCGTCAGTCTACTTCGAGTTTTAGTGAGAATGTCGTTGTGGTGAAAACATGTTTTTAAATGTTAGAACTGTTATCATTGAGCGATCGGGAGAGGGCTTAACCTCCTTCCTGGTGGTGAAAAAAGTACAATGAAGTTTTCCGGGGCGTCTATTTTAGAAAATAGGCGAGAAAACGTAAAATCAAATGTTGTCCTCAGTTGTCCTCATCCTCGAATCTACAGCTCAGTCTACTGAGTATTGAACCGGCCCCGGGTTTTGAACCTGCCGACACCGTTCTGCAGATCAGCGCTCTACTAAAAGAACTAACTCTGCCGCCTTTAAAAGTTCAATCCCACTTGATTATTTGAGAGGCCTGCAAACTCATACTCTGAGGCAAGGAAGCATTTCGTCATTGGCAGCGGTTCAAAGCTGTCTTTCGCTCAGCCGACTTTTTACACCTGTTAAACTTATAGCACGGAGAAAATATGGGTAGTAGTCCTTGCAGCAAAAAGCCTTGCGCCTAGCAAAAAAGCTACTAAACTGTCTCAAGAGTTAAGGAAGTACAGAGACGGCGAACAAAGAGAAGCATAGGGAACAAATTATTTCTGGGAAGAAACTTCGAGAAAGTGCGTTGAATTTGTGCCAACAACACAACATAAAGTTTTATTTGCACATACAGTTTGAAGGTATGTCGGAGTACCTCGCAGTAGTGTAAACCAAACATAGTACGCTGAGTGGACAATTCTGAACATTCGTAAAAGAGCGCGTAACATACATGTGAAAACAACTGATATTCATTGATATTATTCTCCAACAATCTACAGTGTAACTATACAACCTTAACTAGCCTGAGAAAACAGCCGACATTTGGCGACGCCACATGACGTCTGAGAAACGAGCACAGAAATTCCATACTGATGACACGTCACCACCCAGAACTGAGTAGTGCTTCTGATTGGTCGTGCCGCTTAGGAAATTTGCGTCAACCAATCAGAAGTACTACCCGGATCTGGGTAATGACACGTCATCAGTATGGAATTTCTGCGCTCGTTTCTAAGACGTCATTTCACGGGGCAAGCAGTGGTAGCGTCGTGTAAATGTCGGCTGTTTTCTCAGGCTAAACTTTAACGTTCCTAGATCATCATTGAACAAACCAAAGTGTTTGATTTTTTTACTTTGCATTTTTAGAAAGTTCTATATGATTTGGTGAACCTTATTGAGAACGTTTCCGATGCAATACTACACACCATGATACCGGGTCAAAGTCCGCTGGTAGTAAATAATAGCGAGGGCGTGGCTATAAGCTTATCAAAACAAACCCCAGATAAACTGACTGGTTTATCAGTCCATGTGGGAGGAAAGGAAAAGTTCGTGTTGCCTCATGATGGAAGCTTATTCAACGGCATCACAGATAATTCTTACGTCGCGACAACAGTAAGTAGCTTGACTGCCTGAGCACATAACCGTAAACTTCCATTTGGGTTTCTACTAGGTGCCAAGGGCCTTTGTCAATGTCACAGAGTGTTTGAGGGGTTTTGTAAGGTGACCCTAACTTTTGAGTCTATGGACGAAATGCTATGATGTGACCATTCATATGAAAGCTCTCTGCCTGTACTTTCACATGATGCCATTTGTTTCAAAATTGTAGAAAATGAAATTTAGAACTTTGGTCGAAATTTGTCTTTGGCCACATTTGGCAGTGAAAGGGTTAATACTCACGGTTCTTAAACCTGGTAACCCCTCTACCTTAAAGCTTGTCTGATCTCATTCTTCATTTCTGGAAACCCTTCCTGCTCTGATCGACAGAGAGGTTTTTTTTGGCACAAACGGGAAACCGGTAATTTGCCTGTAAATTTAACACGCTGCTCCCCGCCCAGGCCGTGTATGGCAGATAGACGCAGCCTGAGTGATCACGTGATTAGTGCATGCGCAAGGTATCTTTAATTCTGTACACTTACTACTTAACCTTTCACCTCTTCTTGAACTTTTCATACGACTTTCTCATACGTTTATCAGGTAACAAAGCTGTCCAACAACCCATTCCACGAATCGGATAACTCCAGTAGGATAAAGACCACTCCATTTTCTATGGTTCTGAAGGGGGCAGATGGGAATGTCATCCCCGTCAAAGGACTCAAGTCACCAGTCAATATATTTCTGCCTGTAAAAGAACCAACTCAGGTAAGGTAATTTTAAAAAAATTTGTTCACTGTTCAAAAACTGAATAAAAAATTATTATTTTTTACATAAAAATAAACTTTTAAACCTGAAATTCGGAGGCCTTTGTTCTTCTGGCTAAGTTAACATTGTTGTTGCATCTGTAAATTGATAGCCAAAAGATCTCCTTAGTTTTTGTCATGATTCATACTCTTAAAACTCTTACAGTGTTTTTTCATCTCTCATGTTCACAAAAGCGTTTAAGCTAACCAGTCAACTAGATTTTTAAAATTCATTCAGAATCTTGAAGGATGTTTTAGGCATCCGAAATTTTACCAATCAGATTCGGAAGAAATGAAATTTGGGAAAACGTAACGTATCTTGACGGGATACGGATTTGACCGCTACTCTGGAAAGGGGATTTGCCAAAATCTTTGCACGCGATGTAGTATTTGGAGAAAAACGGTATTGGGATAGAGATGACAGTAGTTCGGGATACGGGAGGGAGCCGGATACGGAATCAGGACCCCCTCATCCCCTTCCAGTCCCTTTTCATTCTTTCCCGTTTCTGATTCCTCGTTACAGATTACACTAAACATCTCTCAAACGCCCTCAGCAAGTGGCTCCATGTCTTTGCACAAAGTCACCGCCCCAAACAATGACAGCACCATAAGGGCCGAAATCCTGCCATCCGACGGAAGTTCGGGGCTTACAATTTACTTTCGCTTCAATGAACCTCCTTCCTTAACAGAATACGACTTAAAAACAACTCTCCCACACCAGGACCACGCGGTCGGAAATTACACGCTGTTTGTATCGCGTGATCAAATGCAAGGTAGCGGCGACTACTACGTAGGAATTTTACCGACTGCCCATGAAAATGAACCAAGGGATACGGCAGTAAATTACACTTTTGATGTCATCTCTTCAGCGTGTTACTTTTGGGACGAGTCTTCCAAGGAGTGGAGCAGCAAAGGATGTAAGGTAAACTGCTGTTAATGGTAAATGGTCGGTCAACGATTTAGAGTAGGGAGGCAGGGAGGGAAGCAGCTGATTCATGATTCCACTCTATCAAGATTGATGGCGATGTAGGCTTGGGTGTTTAAACGGACCCTACACCCTACACACATGTTGCTGGCATGAAAAGTTAAGCTGGATAGAATTCTGATTCTGATTCTTATGCACACGCATAAGAACAATAGAAATGTAGGTTGAATCATGCAAACATTGAACCAACAACACCCAAAAAAATTTATAATTCGATTCATCGTGTTGCAACGCACAAAGTTAGATGAAGACATCTCCTCGCCAAACCACACTTAGCCTGTGTCAGGGTCTCGATAAAAGTTAAAATTGAAGGCAAGGCTGATCGGACAGCTAAGGGTTACAAATTTATCAGGGAGCTTTTCTAGCCCCTGATGAAGACTAGTTTTGTCCGGTTGAAATAGTGGGCAAATAAATTTGTAACCCTTAGCTGTCCGATCAGCCTTTCCTTCAATTTTAATCCTGATCTACGACAAGATCCGGCTTTCCCTCGCTGCTGTTTGTCCAAGTGGTCCTTACAAGAATTGTTCTCGATAGTAGGGACGTCACGAAAGCAAGGTCAAGATCTGAAAAAGGGGACGGGATCTCTCTGCGCAGCCCCCGCCCGTTTTTCGAATTATCAGTTTTCAGTATCTCTGCACACTACTATCTTGAAGCATCGAACAAGCTAAACCACACATACGATGTTGACAACTCTGTATTACTCTTCTCTAATTTGTAAGTGTTTACTCTCGACGTGTTACCTGTCTTGTCTAAGGTTATGTGTACACATTACCGGACAGCTTTTTTTGCCACCACGAAAAACTACAAGGTATGGTATGAAAAGCAACGGCCCGGGCTGGAGCAAGAAGTTTTCACACATCGAACATCGCGCCAGAGTGGTTGGCCGAGAGGGTTTGGTGCACTAAATTCCAGTTCTCTTTCCTGAATATTTACTTCCGCCTCAGTGGGTTCCAGTCCTCTCTCCTACTTGTTCACTTCCGCTACTCTCCGAATACCTGTTCACACTGCATCAAAGTGTGGCACAGACCTATCCGCTATGTGTCGCTCAACTTTCGAGATCTTTACATCGTTACAGAAATCGCCCTGTAATCACCGTTCTTATGTGTGAAGAGAAGGTCAATCCGGTATGGTTTTGATGCCAGCCCAAGAGCTATCTGTTATAGTATCAACATACCCTACGTCTAACCACCTTCTTACCATAATTTTACAGGTTCATAACCAAACTAGCCGCCATCTTACTCGCTGCCAATGTTCACACTTGACATGGTTTGGTGCAGATTTGTTCATCCCACCAAATAAACTTGACATCAAAGCTTCAATCAAAAAGTTAGCTGAGCTTCACAAGCACCCTGCGCTGCTCGCTACCTTCTGTACTATTATTGGATTGTACATTCTTGCAATGATCTGGGCAAGACGTAAGGACAGAAAAGACATCACCAAGGTTTGAGTGAAATATTTGAGTTGTTTACAATTAAGTGAACCTAGCCAGCAGTGAAAGCGTTTTCTTCGGGCGCGCCAAGCACCTACCCTAAGAGTTGCTACTTCTTCTCTCCCCAATCTTCCTCTGTCATAAAATCAAAAATAAACAAGCCTGCCCAAATTAAGCCTTCACTGCAAGCTAAAGTGAACCTCAAACCAAATCAGACGTTTTGGGTAACAAACCTACGCGCAGATCATCATTGAAGCCAGTACACGTTGCTGGTCAACCTTGTTCCCAGGGCCGACTTTCCTGACTGGGAGAAGAAAAGCCCCTGGGAACGAGAGATTGATGACGGTACTAAGCGCGGGAAAAAGAGCGTGCGGGCAAATCGGAACTGATTGGTAGACAAAGTGACACGATTTATTTAGCCGATCACAACACTGAACGTTATAAGGTACAAAACAAAGAAATAAAACGATATAATAAAATAAATATAAACGATTTAGAGGCAGTACATTCACATACTTTTTCTTTGTCTACCTGACTTCTGGGCTAATTTGAATTTGGAAATGCTGGTTTACGAGGAGAGAGGAAAACCCGGAGAAAAACCTTTCGGAGTAAAGGAAAGAACCAACAACAAACTCAATCCACATATGGCGTCGACGCCGGGATTTAAACCCGGGCCACACTGGTGGGAGGCGAGCGGTCTCACCACTGGGCCACCCTTGCGCCAATACTTGCGCCAACCCTGCATCACCCATGCGCCATCCTTGTGCCGCCCTTGCACCACTCTCTTACACCTCGGCCACTCTTTTCCTTTCTAGGTAGGCCTGGTGCCTGTTCTAGATAATGACCCAGCAGACAGATATCGCTATGAAGTCACAGTCCATACAGCGCGTGGGAAAAATGCAGGAACAAGCGCTAATGTCTCTATTCTAATCGCTGGCGAGGAAGGTCAGAGCGCGATGCATATGTTAAAGAGCACGTCAAGAACATGTCTACAGCCAGGCAGTGTTGACTCATTCCTTATAACGACATCAGACTGCCTGGGCAGTCTGACATATATCCGTATGTGGCATGATAATACCGGTAAAAGTCCGTCATGGTTTGTCTCCCAGCTGGTCATCCGGGATATTGAAACAGACGAGAAGTTCTTCTTTCTATGCAACAGTTGGCTGGCCTGCGATGAGGGTGATGGACAGGTTGATCGACTCTTTCCAGTGGCGGGAAAAGAAGAGCTGCGCGACTTTGTCCATCTGTTCAAGACCAAGACATCACGTGACTTTTCTGACGGGCACTTGTGGTTTTCGATAGCTTTTCGGCCAGTGCGCAGTCGCTTTACGTGCATGCAACGAGTATCCTGTTGTTTGTCTCTTCTGATGTGCTCAATGCTAGCCAATGTACTCTGGTATCAAACGCCGGTGCAGGATCAAAACAACGTTCTTCTAGATCTCGGGTTCTTTGAGTTCACCTGGCACGAGATTCTGATTGGGATTCAATCGAGTTTGGTCGTCTTTCCAATCAACCTGTTGATAGTTCAGTTATTCAGAAATAGAGGGGTGAGCCCAAGGGCGAAACAAAAGTACGCAGAGAGGACAACAGCAAGAAGCGATTCCAATGTCAGAACAAAACACCACTCGATAACTCGAAAACAAACTGCTGTATCACTCAGCGATATTACACCGACAGCTTCGCGAAACGAAATGTCGGCCTCTTTCAAGCAAAAAAACGTGACTTTAAAAAACTTAACACGCATGCGTACACCTGTGCCCGCGCGCAAAGACTCGACGGACGACGATTTCTTCTGTTCTTTGATTGAGAGTAAAATTGGAGTTCCATCGGAGGAAAAAGAAGTCAAACCAAAAAAGCAGAAAACCCTAGATAACCCTGATTCATTGGAGGAGGAGCCCGACTTTTTATCTTCGGACGTTTACTACTATTTGTATCAAGACGAGTCACAGGAAGGGGATAAAGGTGCTATCATGTAGTTGATTAAATACTTGTTTCCATAGCTTTAAGTAGAGACCTTTAGATTCGAGGACGAGAACGACTTCGACTACGTGATTTGACTTAAAGTTTTTTGCGTATTCTCAAAAAATAGACACCCCGGAAAGCTTCATTTTCCTTTTTTTTTACTAGAAAAGTTAGCACTGTTAGGTTTATTGAAGGAAGTAAGGCCCTCTCCCGATCACAAGATGATAAAACTTCTAACATTTGTTAACTCGTTCCAACCAGTACGACATCTTTGCTAAAACTTGTTGTAGAGTGAGGAAGACTATCAGGTCGTCTCGCCAAAATGACGCGGGTTGACCCGCGCGCACTACTTAGTATTGAGAAAATCTCGTACTCGAAGTCTTTCTCGTCTTAGAATCTCAATAGCGATTTTAAGGCACGGCATTTATCTAGGCAAGGGCGCGCAAGCTCAAGCGGTAGGTAATAAGCGTATTTGTTCCCCAGCCAATCAAAATCTGTCGCGTTCCGTGTTTTCATCCCTTGGCTATTACTGAATTTTCGAAGCATTTCAGCAAATGAGTGCGCCAACCACACAGAGTTGTCGGTCGCGCAAAACATTGTGCCGCCTTACTTATCTCACTAGAAATGCCTTGATAAAAAAGTTTTCTGAGTCAGTATATCAAATGTGACCGGTTGTTGAGAAAGGTTTTATTCAAAGGGAAATTGAACCTTTGTTTAAGGTCTTCATTAATCTTGTATTCTTTAATCTTTACTAGCTTTCCCTGAATCGACTTACAACCGCGATTCAGTAGGATCAACTTCCCCCTTAGTTCCTCCTGAAAACACCAAGGGAAAGAAAAGAAGAAAGAAAACGAAATGTTTATTTCCATGGTGGTTTGTGTACTTCGGGTGGTTTTTCTGCATTTCAACAGCAGCTGCGGCCGGATTCTTCACGTTGTTGTACGGACTTCAATTTGAGAACAAGCAACAAGAAGAATGGCTGGTGTCCATGTTTGTATCGATGTTCCAAGACATCTTGGTAAGCCAGCCGCTAAAGGTTGTCATCGTCGCTATTTTCTTTGCTCTTCTCTTCAAGAAACCCCAAGATGAAGACGACGACGTCATCAACGCTGAGCTGGCGAGAGACGAGGAATGGCTCGAGAAAAATCTTAGTCATGCGCGTAAGGGAGATGGACAGACTGCTGCCACACAATCTCTTCGTCCTCCTGATAAGGTAATGTAGTTAGAATGACATTCTTCTACGAATGCTTGTCAGATGATATTGCAGCCTCGTCTTCAGAGCTTTTCTCTTAGAAGATGAGAGGGAAATTTTAAGGGAAAAGATGTGGGGACGAGGTTAATGATATTGTAGCCTTTAACTACTCCGTTACGAAATGCTAAGAACAGGAACTTCGAACCCATTTAATTGGTTCAATTTATTGTTATCCGCGGTAACCATAAATTAACTCGCAAGTTTCAGCGATTATTGGCATTCCAAAAACGATAAAGGAAACACTAGGGAGGGAGATCGAACAATCTGTTACCCAGATCTCCCATGGTCAAACAGATTCATGCCAAACAAGCATGAGTGAGATCTGGGTGAGAGATTAGGTCTCAAGTTCAAAACAAGTATCAATGGGGTATCAAAAAGCCCGTTTTAATCTTCAAATTTCACCTTCAGGAACATTCTCTTGCAAATAAACGTTTTTGTTTCCTTTTTCTTGTAATCCAGACACTCCTACAAGCTGCTCGAGCGCGCCTCTTCAGGGAAAGGAAGATGCACTCGGTTATCCGGGAAATCGTGCTCTACCTCATGTTTGTGTGGATAGTTCTGCTGGTAGCGTACGGTCATAGAGACCCGTATGCACACTTCATGACTCAAAACATGGAGAACTCGTTTGTTGGACACCAAGAGTCACCTGGTGCCCGCGAAGATGACAAGCAAGAAACAACCAAACAGAAACCTGTCGGAGGCGGTAACGTTAAACTTTCTGACGTAAGTACACGACAATGCTGAGTGTACCTTTCTCGTATAAATTTAGGTTTCTGGGAAACTGCCCACCTACCCCTCTCCTAAGCCAACATTTTGCCTTAAGTGAGAAGTAAGTGATAATGTTGACTTAGGGGAGGGGTAGGTCGGCAATAGACCATTTCCGGGTTGTCTCAAGCCTCTGTTTTAAAGAAGAGCTAGGTGTGAAGCTATTGATTTGAAAGTGATTTTTTATTCTCATGCTAAACAACTCATTTTCAAAAGAAAGGTTTTGCAATTAGCCTCATTTTGAAAACGAGAACTTTTGAAACTGTGGGACTGTTTCGGCGAAAGAATGTTGACCCAGTACCTGCGCAACTTTATAGTAGCTAAATCGTCACTTTCAAGTTTCCCATAATACATCTTGTTTACCCTCCACAATTTGCTCAAGAATTGTTTTCCATTTCTTCTGGGTATTACAGTCGTCCCAAGAGAAAGCGAAAACAATGCTTATAATATAATGTTACTCCAAAACTTTCTCTAGAGGTTTTGCTCATAATAACGTGTACACACATTAATCATTTACATGTGCACACGTAATTATAAACGTTACTGCATTCTTAAGAAATATTTCGTTTGACAAAAGAGGGACCACTCACGTTTGGAGTCTTCCTGTGCATTAACATCACCGCTTCTAGAAGGCAAAGAAAGAAAGATTGCGATTGAATTAGCCAGTAGAGGCAAGAACTAAAGGTTGATAACATCAACTAACAAAGTAACAATACACGGCTCACTTTGATTCTAATAATGATGACTTCTAATAATGATGAAACATCAGTCAAAGAGAACGAGAATGTTATTCATTCTCAACACTACACTCACCCAGCCTCCTCCTCAGGCGCTTCGTTTTTCCCATGGTTTTGCATAGAGGCGAGCGCGAAACGCGAGTGACTGGTGAAGAAGCGCAAGGGACCACGGGAAGGGTAAAGAAGGGAGGCGAAGCCGTTTTCTCCTTCCCACCTTCCTTTGCGTGCAAATTTTCATCAAGAGAGAGACGTCTGGGAACGAGGGAGACACTTACCCGTATCATCATATTCAACTTACGCACGAAATTTACACTACTTATCAATTTTTACCTTGATACCATCCTGAATATCCCTAAGGTCACCAATGTCAACGATTTCTGGGAATGGATGAATCAGACGCTAGTTCCAGGCCTTTATAGTGGTGTGTGGTACAACGGAAAGCGCGGGCAGCGTGGGTTCCTGGACGATAAGATGTCTTATGTAGTGGGTGTGGCTCGAATCAGGCAGCTTCGAGTTAAAAGTGGTAAGTTCTCAAATGTGAAAGCAAACCAAGTGAACAAACTCCAGTTTGTACCGTTCATTTACACTTAGTGGCCTTCTGACACCATATCGACCTTTGTGGAAAGACCTCTGCAAAAATCCGACCTTTGGCTACCGCGTGAGAAACTACAGTGTTTGTATGAGAATCTTATGTCTAATGATTTCCGTAAAACGGTTGTTCTGAAAAAAGTATGAATTGTAAACTTAAGCTACAAAGCAAAGGATTCTACTTGCAAATTTTGGAGGCCGTACCTGTGTTTAAATTTCTCCAGTCGCTTGCTTCAGATTTTCCATATATTTGTCTGCAATTTTTCCAGGGAAATTTAGTCGGCAGCAAAAAAAAGTTTTACAGACAAATATATAGAAGATTTTAAAAAGTGGTTCTAGCCCAGGTGAAGCCCTCAAATTTTTTCAGTAGAATCCTTAGGAGTGAAGCAGAAATTATTAGACATTAGATTCTCATACAAACACTGTTATTCACTGACGCGGTTGCCTACCTGTGAAGACGGATCAGGTCTATTTCCTTAACTTTGCATCACTCAGACTGAAACTCTAGAAAACTACTAGCTAAAAGTCGAATTTAAGTAACTCGAACTTTCGTTTAAGATAGCGGTTTAAGGATTGGTGGGTTTAGTCAGCTTTTACAATGTAATTACGTGGTATTTGTAATGATTGCTTCAGCTCGACGCGGTAGCGGCAAGAATTTTGAAATGAAGTCCTGCCGCTGCAGCGCCAAATTCAAATGAAATTCTGCGCAACGGCAGTTCCTACGAAGTTTGAGGCGGTTTGTAGTGATTCTTATGCTATCAATCCAAAGATGGGATCCCAGTAAAAGAAAAGGGCGCGAATGTTCCTCGCCTTTTGATTAGTAATTATCAACTTTTTTTAACGAACTAGGGGGGTTTAAAAGTTAGTGCCTATCTTCTTTTTTACACTGTGGTATTTCAGGCACATGTAAAGTTGACGGAGTCTTTGACTCGCACGTGGGAGCCTGTGACGAGCCTTATTCCTGGGATGCAGAAGATCAGACTCCCTATTATGAACCCGGATGGAGACCAGCCAATCAGAATACGTCTTACAACCAAGACTGCAGCGCATGGCACTACAAGACAACTGCTGAGCTAAAAACACGACCTTTCCTGGGGCACCTTGCACTCTACCGCGGAGGTGGTTACAAAGTTGACTTCAGCTCTACCATAGAAAGTGCATCCTCTGTGTTAGACGATTTAAAAATGAACAACTGGGTGGACAAATACACACGCGCAGTATTTATCGAGTTCACGGTATACAACGGTTACAGCAACCTATACTGCGTTGTTAACCTACTGGTCGAATTCACTGCCGCTGGAGGGGTTGTACCATTCATTCAGTTGCTGTCAACCCGAATTGATCGCTACGTGGGACACTTTTTGATATTTGTGCTGGTCTGTGAAGTTTCGTTCGCTCTCTTCACTTTATTCTTCACTTATCGCGAGTTCAAGCGGTTTCTTAAGACAGAGTTGAAGGATTACATAACGGAGTTCTGGACTTGGATTGAGCTAACACTGTTAGGGTTATCATGGACTGCCATTGTTCTCTACGCAATCAGATTCGGTCTTGATCAATTCACGAAAAAAGCCTTTCGCAAAAATCCTCAAGAATTCGTGGACTTCCAATACCTGGCGCTTGTCGATCAGCTTTTCGGTTATATTTACGCATTTGTGGTGTTTATGACTTCTGTCAAGTTTCTTCGCTTATTCAGATTCAACCGTCGCATGTCGCTACTCGGATGTACGATCAAAACGGCTGGTCGGGAGCTCGTGCACTTTGGAATTATCTTCGGGCTCGTATTCGTCGGCTTCTCCCATCTTTGCTATCTGGTATTTTCCCACGAGTTGTACAAATTCCACACTTTCGTAACGACTGTTGAGACCCTCATCAGCGTAATGCTGGGGAAATTTAGTTATGTCAGCTTGGAGCGGACAAATAGAGTTCTTGGGCCGCTCATGTTTTTCTTCTACAGTATAGGAGTGGTTTTCATCCTTGTAAACATGTTCTTGTCCATCATTATCGAGAACTTCTCCAAAGTGAAACGGAACAATGACCTCCAATCGAATGAACACGAAATTATTGACTTTATTGCCGATCAGTTTACGAGTTGGCTTGGTTTAAGGTCGCGTTCCATTTTCAAAAAAAATCGAGTCCACGTGGAAGAACAGCGGCCGAGGCCAAAATACAAGAAACGCAAACGAAAGAACGAAGCGCAGCAGCTCAGAGAAAGAGTTGACAGGTTGGTTACGCTTATAAAGAACGTTCACTTTGATGTAGCAGAGGATGATGATTTTCTTAGGAACGATGGTGAAGTTACTTATTTACTTCCGAATATCACACTGGAATCTTACGCTTGAGTTAAATAGTGCTCGTATACACTGAAACAATATTGGTACCTGTATTAGTAGCCACGTAGTGAGCCATATTCGCTGAGCCGCCGCTCACATACTGGCGCCACACTGGTCGAACTCCTCATGGGACAAGTTCTCATGCAATATTATAACCGAGAGTCTTGTCGTCACCGGAGTTTCGAAAGCGTCCAAGCGACTTCCGACGATTTACCACGATTTTCCGAAGACTTCCAAGCGCTATCAAAATGACCGAACATGTTCTGTTCCGACGACCATTAAGCATCTCCGACGGCTATTTAAAAGGCGACAATTTTTAGCGTGTTGTGATACAGTTAGGACACAAAGTCAACATTAAGCGCCTTTTCGGAATATTTTCGGGAAATTGAATTGAATAGTATCAATTTACGTAAAAATGGTAATACACCAGGATACACCGTTCAGTAACACATAGAAACAATTTTATCAGGCGTTGTAATTTGTTTTTCGACCAAGGAAACCCAATTAAAAAACCCTTCTTCGTGGCCACTTAGCCTGATGCCTGTTTTGATTTCTGTAACATAAAGATGGCAAAAACAGATCAAAAGTAGTGGACTTACCAGAGTTTTCCAAGATCTTCTCGTTCTCATCATCAGCTTATAGAACTTTCTATCCTCCTTTTGACAAAAACGCCGGCGGGAGGAGAAGAGTTTCTCTACTAGTCAGGAAATTAACCAGGGAGAAATAAAAAGGAAGCAAAAAAAAAAAATGTAACGGTCAGGGAATAAGGGCGTGTCTTTCCTTGACACGGAGACAAGTTACTTTCTCTCTCTTCTTGCCTAGTCCTTAGGCCTCATTATTCCCCGAGGCCAAAGCATTTCGGACCACGTGGTCCGAGCGAAGAAGTTAAGAGGTTTCCCGCCTGTTCGTCTCGGATACGTCACCGAAGTGAATCGACCGAGAAGGCCTGGGAAAACGCCGTATAGGGACGTATGCAAATCGCTGACACAGAAACTTAAATCAACAAATAAATAATTTAATCAATCTTCATTTGCACTGGCTATAATTATTTAAATATATTTTGACAATGGTATTCAAAACTATTTGCATAAAAAAAAATCATACTCTCAAATTGGAAAATATTTACAACTACAGATGACTTACTTTTCAATTTGCAAAGTGACATTTAGAATTAGCATAATACATCTTACTAAAATACTATAGCGCCATAAGGCTATAGGTACTGATAATGTTCACAGAGTTTTCAGAATTACAAAATGGTCATCGTCCTCTTCAACTGAAAGGTTACCTTATATTTACAAGTCTTTTTTTGTGTGTGAATGTTTCGAAAAACTCGGTTCAGGAATGACTTTTCACTATATATTCTTCCCTTTACTGGGAGTGTAAATAATTACAAATCGGAGGAAAAAAAACTTTACTTCTTACGATACATTTCAGAATGTAATGAAACTAGCGCTGTAAAGCTAGAACCATTCGATGAACTCAGTTACTGAAGTTTACCTTCGATTGGAAACCAGCCAATCAGAATACCATGTCATAAAAACGCCAGACTGTTGCGCATGACCCTACAGGACACCCGCTGAATCGCTGGTTCCTTCCGTTTCTTTTCTCCGTCAATCACAAAAATGCAAATACTATTTGGCTTGTGAAAGGATAGTTACGTATTAAATTGAATAAACAGGTGGGGCGTGTTTGAAGCTGGGAGGGCTTTGTTTTTGTTGGCTTTTTTTTCACGATTTGTGCGTCGAGTACTCTGCACAACTTTCCTAAACTGACTTAGTCGTGGGAAACTTGGCGCACTAATTTTTATGTTCTTAATGACGAAGCTTAAAAGGAATTTTTAAGGTATTCCTTTTCCCCACTCAATTAAGAATATTTCATAACCTATGGGAGCGGCTATTCCTATAAGCCCCAATATCCACATACAAATTCTCCATACTGATCTCCATACATTTCCTTAGTGAATGAGTTAAGAGAATTTGATAAAAGATCAAAGCATTTTCCCTTAGGTGATCATTTTATTAATTCTCAAAACCTAATCTCCTGACAATCTATGGATATCGTTAGGAGAAAATTGATGTTTATCAATATTGCGACTTAAAGGGCTAATCGCTGAGAATCAACACTACTCAGGAAGGAAATGCGGATCAATTTAGATTTCTGGGCAACTGCCTAACTACCCCTCCCTTAAGCCAACATTTTGCCCTAAGTGAGAAATGAGTGAGGGAGGGGTAGGGGGGAGTTTCCCACAAAACCCTAAATTGATCGAGGAACGCTTTGGCAAGTTACCGTACGAAAACCTTCTCGCCTCGCTGCCGATGGAATTGTTCCGCCAAGTTTTCAAACCGTTTCGCTCCTTGTATAGCAAGAGCTGCGGCTTTGAACTTTCTACGCGACGTGAGAAATTGACTGCCGAGTTCACGGGAAACACCAGTGTGTTTAACCCAAGGGTGACCCAAGACTTCTTCCGCAGTGTATCGTTTACTTGGGCTCACTACCAGCAGTTTAGAGATGAGGTCTTTGGCCTCGTTTGAAATGTTATCCCAATAAGGGGACAAAAACTCGTAATCGCCATCCATAATTAAGTCAAACAGTTCGTCCTGGTCTCGCTTGGCGCTACGAAACGGCGGGAAACCACAGAGCATGATGTAGGTGATGACACCCGCTGCCCACATATCGACCTTGAGCCCGTAACCAGTTTCCTCGAGGATTTCTGGTGCTACATAAGTGGGTGTTCCGCAGACGGTGAAGATTGGTGATTTTACCTCCATTGCTAAGCCGAAGTCTGCCAGTTTAAGAATTGTTTGACCATTAGGTTTCTTGTGAACCTAACAAGGGTGTAAAATACAAGTCAGCAACTCTTTTAAGCAAGAGTTAGAGTAAGTTGGCTACATTAGGAGCCTATTATATCCGGAGCAACCGTCAGCTTAGACTGTTCACAGTCCCCTATTTTTCCGTAAGATCGTCGAGAACGAGCGCTACTGGCGGCCATCTTGACCGAGACTAGCTTGTCATCTACTTTAATAAGGGGAGGGGGGCGCGGCCTCCCTTCCCCCATTGCTATAAGTCCTGACGATCGCCTTCTTGGTACATTTTAAAGCAATTCAGAATAGCTGGCAGTGATGGTGAGCGCTCGTTCTCAACGATCTTACGGGAAAATAAGGAAGAACAGTACTACCATCGGCTTCAAAGACATTTTACGAAACTACAACTGAGACGACAACGCGTACGTCAAAAAAGAATAGGTTTAGTGAGCGAAACAACTACTTTTTACGTGTATCAGGTTGCTAAATCTCTTTGGCCCCAGAACAACTCCGACGTGAAATGACCAATTCTTAAATTCTCTCGAGGACGTGAACGGCAAGACGCATAAATTTTACTGTATCTCTCTGAGTTCGGACGTGGACGCGAGGTCAATTTTCAGTGACGTTTTAACTGGCGTCACCGTTGTGGGAGCGCAACGTCCCTTAAGCCTGTTGTCGCCCCATGTATGGTAATCCGTATTCCCGAAAATTTTTGCTTGTGGAAATTTAGAATCTGGAATTCAGGAAATTTTGATTGCGGAATCAGGAATCCTACTAACGATTCGAGACGAGAATCAAGTTCTACTGACGAAGACTGGAATCAAGTGCTTGGAATCCGAAATTCACGGTGTAGAATCGAGAATACAAGACTGTCTTGGATTCTCTTACACGCAGGGCGCAAAGAAAGTCATTTTTTAAAGCTTGCCATTCAGGCAAGCTGAAGCTAGCATATACTAGCCCAAACGTCATTTCAACTTGCCCCCAAAACACTTTTCAATTGATGAGCAGAATTGATTTCACAGTTCTCCTGTAATTTGAATTCCTCAAGAAACTTCACTTGTCCGTTGGGCAAGTTAAGAACAAAATCCACTAGCTCCGGGCTATCGGACACTACTTTCCTTGCACCCTGCTTACACGGGATGATCGTTGTCTTCGGTCTGTTAGGGAGCTTAAGCAAGGACGACGGCGGCGGCAACAAGAACGGCAACAAAGCAATAGGTTTAGATCAGTAAAACAACAACTTTGCACGTGCATCACGCTTTTTTTGTACATTTCTTTGCCGTCATAGACGTTGCACGACTACAATGTGAAAGTGCCTAAATTCACGTTTTGTCGAGGACGGGAACACCAGACAACAACTTCATTTTTCTTTTCCTAAACGTTTGATACCGTTCTTTGGAATTTAACTCCAAAAACATTTAAAAACATTTGACGAACTAGACGAGATGGAGCAGCGCGAATTCACCTTTTAAGTGACGTTTCCATTGCCGTAGCCCTCGTTGTTGCTCAAGCTCCCTATTTAAGCTTGCTTTCCGCGATTAAATTAAGTCAGAGACCGTGAAAAAATAATAGAGGAAGAGGGGGAGGGAGAGGGGAGGCTCTCATCCCTACCCCACCCCTCACAATTTTTCCTGCTCATATCTCTTTGTGTCCTCCCCATAATCTGAGTGCCTGGAACCGGCTACTCAAAAGTCAATCACTGAATCCGCAAGTTTGAAACGAGCTGCCAATTTCAGAGTGCAGTTGGGGTTTTGCAAAGTAATAGCTGGCAATAACATGGCTAAACGGTGCAGGACAGAGGCAGATGGGAAGACATTTGACTACATAAACGAATTCCCTGTTAGTCTTTTTATAAAAGGAATCTTATTTTTAAAAAAGGCGAAAGAAAGATCTCGACGTGGCAGGTGTAATTTTTGGCGAGGACCAATTTTTATTATTGAGTTAAAATTTTTTTGCTCATAAGCCTTTTCGTTCTTTAGCAAACAAAAAGCAAGACAGTGCATTGTCAATTTGTTTACAAATCCAACTGTCCCTTGGTTATATTATTAAAAACTGCCTCTTTGTTTAATTAATAAAGTCTAGAATGTAAAGATAAAATCTTCATAAAATAAAACCATGGTAACAGCAAAGATTTCTCTGTTTAGCCCAATTCCATTATAACTGTGGTTGCATTTTCTCCAAACTGAATCCATGTAGACCTTCAACTCCAGTAACATTTTAATATTATAAAGGGGTTTTCTAAGAAAGCCGAAGAATATTTTAATGATTGTTCTCCGTTTAAGTAAAACTCTGGTCAAGTTTGTATGAAGGTTCACTTCGGAACACGTTCCGGTTAAATAACAAGAGTTAAAAGCCATGGTACAGAATTGTGAGTTATTCATAGGCCGTAGTTAGGAATTACTCAGTAATTCAGGCTCCATAAAAGTCCTATCGAGATGGGATTGGAAGGCTTTCCCTGGAGTTCCCTGCTAGCAGAGGCCTTTTTTCCCTGGTATTTGGTGGGCGAAATACTAGGGAAAAGAGGCCTCGTCTGGCGGGGAATCCCTGGGGTGTTTAATTTATTAGTTACCAAGATACAAGATTATAATGACCATGTACAAGACTAATTGACTTACCAGTAGATTTTCCGGTTTAAGATCTCTGTGAACAATTTTTCTCTTGTGTAAATAGTCCAACGACTTTGTAATGTCCTTGACGTAGTTTCGAGTGACAGCTTCGGTAAACTTCACCGAGGAAGAAATTGCATCGAAAAGATCACCCCCTTGGATTAACTCCATCACCAGATAGATGTGTCGTGTGGTATCATAATCTTCGTACATTCGAACAATATTCGGATGTTTACATCTTCGCATGATATCTATTTCGTCCCTGATCATTTGTTCTTTCCCTTGAATTTTGCTCTTATCGACAATTTTCAAAGCAAATTCCTTTTTGGTTATTCTGTCAGTACATTCACGGACATCGGCGAAGTTTCCGTCGCCAATTTTCTTTCCAATAAGGTACACATCTTCGACAGTTTTGTCAGTAACCGTTCCGTATTTCACCTCGGCCTCTGAAAAAATACCACTGTCATCTCTCGAAGTTTTCTTAGTGTTGACCTTACTAACTACACTATGTTTCTTGCCAACCGATTCCTTTCTGCTCGGCTTGTCAGCACTGGGAAAATTAATGTTTACATGTCCCGTCTCTCTGAGTTCATTATTTGCATTTTGAACTCCGGCAACATCACCGTTTTCCTTGTTGCTAGGTTTAGAAATAACTTCGTTTTCTTTAGTTTCTTTCTCTGGTTGAGACACCAAGTTATTGCGGCCAATCTGAGGAAGTTTCACCGCGTTTTGATTTTGTTTTTTGCCCGGACTGCGTGAGGGGACATGTTTCGCCGGCTTATGATTAACATGCGACCTTTTAGCATTCGAATTAGCTGCCAAATGAGGCTTGTTATTACTCTCCTGTTTTGGTTTGCTCTCAACTTTTGCATGAATGTCCGGAAGCTTTGGAAGTTTGCTTTCCTCGTCCGTGTTAATAGTTTTCACCTGATCGTGCTCTTTGTTCTTCTTCTGTTTACTGTGTAACATTCCTTCGTTGCTCGCTTTCGATTCCTTATGTTTGGAGCGTTTCTTTGAGCTCGAACCGTGTTCAAAGTCCTCCAAAATATCCGCAATGTCATCAGGACTAAATTTCTCACTGCCCACGGCAATAAATATGTTATTTTCGTCATGAAACAGTTCCATTACATCACTTATTACCTGTCCCGAAACATTGTAGAGTTTTCTCGGTGCGCTCAAACCACTGGTGTTTCCAAAGGAATTAGAAACTTCATCAAGAACTTGCTCAAGTTTTTGAGCTGTTCTTTTGTTTAAGAGCGTTTTTACAGCTGTACGAGGCTTGTGAGGGCCATTTCTGACCACGGTGACAATTTTGGGTTTCACATAATTTGTTCTTCCGTCGCCAAGGATGGATTTTGGGTCTGAATAACCACGTTGTCTCGAGTGTTCTGTTGTTTTAACACCAAGCGGTCGTCGTTTTGTCTCGTTATATGCCATTAAGTGTAAGCTAGGCAGCTCGATCCGCTGTCTGGTGCCCCAGTTGGCGAAAGGAGGCTTTCCGCCATATGAAATCTTCTTTAGACGTGAATGTGATGAGCAAACATAAGCTTTCCCGTCAATTAACTGATCAAGGTTGTCAACTCTGTCGCCGCTCTCAAGGGAAAACAGATACCGAACTCCCAGGGGTAAGTCTTTGACGTGTCTAGAGTATGTCAAACGATGTAACTCGTCTAAAAGGCCTTCCACGTTTCGAAATCTCCTAGGAGTAATAACCATTACATGCCCTTGGAAATTTTGATCACCATTTACGTAGAAGGTAACTGTCTTGGTTGATCGACCGGCTTCGTGATCGTAACCACTGGGAAGCGATGTCTTCGCCGCAGCCGCCATATTATAACCGTCTTGTTTTCTGTTAAAACAGCTTTGTTGAATTATTCCTTTGCGTCTGAAAAGTCTTTAAAGCTTTCCAAGGATTCCTTATCGATGATATTTCCGACAAAGCCGCTCGCAATAGGAAATAACATATCGCCAGAGCAGCAATTATCTCCGGATGAAACAGTTTAAGCCCGTTGAATTTCGTGAAGGATCCATTTGATTAAAACCCAAATTTTTAGCGATTGTCTCCTTGCTTCTTATTTTTCAATCTTGACTTTTAAAGGATATAATGGCAGCTACCGACAATAGGACCCTGACGAGGTTTGCAATTCATTACTGTCGCATCACAAAAGCGGGAACATTCAATGTATTTATTGAATACGTGCGCGTGTATTATTGAAGAGAGTTGCTACGGCAACAAATTCGAGATACATTACGCAATGACAAATCGAACGTGCATTTGATTTGATTATGGGTTTTGTTTTTTTAATTAGCAAGTCACGCAATAATCATTCAGGTAATTACGGATTAAACGTTCAAGATTGAAAAGCTAATCTTTACAATGTTCGTGCATCACTTATAATCGAGACAGAAGTTGGAAAAAGGCAGGAATCTAAAGCCCTAACAGTGCCTGATCAAAGACTCAGCCAACGCTGAAGTTCAATGATTAAAATCATTGTTGCCAGGTTTCCTCTGCGATAAGAAAAGGATTGTGGATCGAACTTGCCAGAATATAGGTAAAACGATTTGCAAGGAAAGGGAATGGCTTTCCTCTCTCTTTCGCCGCCATTTTTTTTTCTTTTTACGTTTTACATGTGGACGCTGGCGAAAAGAGCCCAACTACGCAGAAAATCTAGAACTACAGACAGTTGTAAAAATAAAAATAAAAATAAAAATACGAGCGAAGGTTGCCTGGATACAGTAAAAACCCGCGAGTAAGAACTGAAATTTCCCAAGTTAATCTAACCAGGTTGCGCATAGATTTTAGAAAACAAGAACCTGTGCCATACTAGGCTAAACAGGTTCTTGTCTAGACGGGGCCTAACGGGAAAATTTTCGCCCATCAGGTTCATAAAAAACAGGTTCTTACCTGCGGGTTTTTACTGTATAGTGTGTACGGAGGTTCGGGGCCATGGGCTCCTGCTTAAAACTTAAAATTGAAGGCAAGGCTGATCAGACGGCTTAAGGTTTACAAATTTATTAATCTTAGCCGTAAGATCAGCCTTGCCTTCAATTTTAAGTGTTAATTTATATTGCTGATTCTGATCTACGACAAGATCCGGCTTTCCCTCGCTTCTGTTTGTCCAAGTGGTCCTTGCAAGAATTGTTCTCCTGCTTAAAAGTGCAGTTGACCATCAAAATTGCACATGCTAAGAGTGCTGATTTCTAGGCTACAGTTCACCTTTTATAAGTTCTTGGCAGACAGAGAATTAAAGCAAATACAACCGAACCTTTGCTAACGGCCACCTCTCTACAACGGCCACAGTTTTTCATCCCGGCGAACAAAAAATCCATACATTGACTCTTGTTTAAAAGCTCTCTACAACGGCCACTTTCTTCTGTCCCCGAGGTGGCCGTTGTAGAGAGAATACTGAAGAGAATATTTGCATGGCTTAGAAGGGTGCTTGACCAAGTTATATATTTGTGAGTTGTCGTTAAGTCACTACGCCGTTTTTGATCAGGATTCACTAAGTTTCCTTCGTTAGGTTGTAATCGATGGATCATTTAGCCTGCGTAGCAGGCGCTTGGAAGTAGTGGGCGAAAGAGACAACGGGCGCGCGCGAGGGAGACACGCGAGGGGTGTCTCCTTCTCGCGCGCCCTTTTTTTCTGGGGCCCACTAATCTCGTACCCAGATCTCACTCTGTTTTACTCATTATACGTTTCTGGGGAACTGCCCATCTTCCCCTCCCCTAAGCCAACATTTCGCTCCAAGTGAGAAGTGGGTGTTATTGTTGGCTTGGGGGAGGGGTAGGTGGGCAGTTTAAAGAGAGGGAGAGAGCGCGCTCAAAAAAGATGAAAGTGATAATTTAGAAAGGCAACGCGTCATATGCTTTACAGCCTCACGAGGAAAGGCTGGGGGAGGAGTGTGGGGCTAAAACACTGTATGATCTAACATTATTCGTTTCCACACAAAAGAGCCCAAAGAGCCACAACATTCCATAGCAAGTCAAACCAACACGCTTGATCACTAGGTCTTCACGAGAACTCATCACAGCTCGACTGTGGATCGACGGCGTATGTTAGCATCAGCAACGTAGGTCAACCTAGATTCGGGTACGATTCTTGGATTGGTAAAGTAAGCAGAAGGCTGATAACTTCAATCAGTTTTGTATGATGGTGAAATAACGCGTTGTTGGTTGATGCGGGGGATATGCTGCTAGATACCATCTGTTTTATTTCTTCTCTAATCGCCTGCAGTACGCGAGCCAGTCTTGGCGAGCAATGAAACGCCATCCAGCGGTCTCCATCGACAGCCAGAGTGACTCGAGGCTCGTGGGGTGACGGAGCGGGGCCTAAGACCAAGAATATAAACGAACAATGTATCTAGGCTAGATTTTCTTGAGCCTGCATGGCAGGCGTTTGAAAGGGAAGGGAAGGGGGATTCCGCCCACACAGGCTAGATTTTTTTAGACAAAATAACCCCCAGATAACAAAAAGAGCTAATTCTCCAGCGTTATACGTAATTCTTTCGCATACATATTAAGGTAAATAAAAAAAAATATGTGAATTTACATATATTTAAACTGCGGAACAAAGATTTTACACGTGAAAGATCGTCGAGGTTACTTACGATATTTCACAACTTTAATACTGAGATAAAGTTGAAATCTCCCAATCTTTATTCTTTTACTTATTTTTCTGTGCTTGTAGTTCTGATCAAACAGGACGAACGTAACAGATATCAACGAACATACAGAACGATATCATACTAGCCAGTGTACAGACCCTCCTCCCCTCAGGAAAAATCTTCTAAGTCGCCGCAACCCAAACTTCTGAACTAGTCAACCTTATTTTTTCGCGTCAAACAAGGTTTTTGTGTGCGAGCATCCGTTTAATGATGAACCGATGTTCACAACTGAGCCCACTCAACTGTACCGAGCGCACGGATATTAAGCCTGGGTTCGAAGATGTATCCTAGCGATATACAGCACATGCTCAACAAAGATTTTACACGATTCATGCAAGGTCTTTCTCGAATACGCCAAAATCGAGTAAGCGAAAGAAAGGCGGTTCTACTGGCAGGGTGACAGAACGAGTCCGAGTCAGAAGATAACAAAGAATTAGACTACGAGCAGCCTCTCTTTTTTCTGTAGTCCGTCGAGCAAAACGCGAGATACGCTAATGGCCACGCGCATGTGAAAAAGAGAGACTGCTCGCAGTCTAACAAAGAATATATTACTTCAATAAAAAGGAGCCTGGTCTACGGTGGAAAACCGCATGCCAATAATACTATAGGCATGACATGCAGCTCTGTAATGTGATACATACCATGACGTATTTCATAGCGTATCTGCTTTACATCTTTTCCCGACAAGAGAATCAAAGCCACCGGGTGAACCATGCTGCTGTCCCGGATGAAGATCTGTGTTGACTTAACCTAAGGAGAGAAATAATGGTTAGGCATCGAGTAAGGGAAGGGGGGGGGGGGGGGGTAATTTGTTTACCCACGAAGCATTTAGGAGTTCTTAAGAATTCGTTTAAACGTGTCTGTGCGTTTCAGAACGAATTGAAATTTGGAAGTGTTGGTGCTTGAGGAGAGGGGAAAACCAGATGAACCGGACAAAAACCTCTGAGAGTAAAGGAGAGAACCAACAACAAACTCAACCCACATATGGGGTCGACGCCCGGATTTGGACCCCGGCCACATTACTGGAAGGCGAGTGCCTTCACCACTGCACCATCCTGCCTTAAAACTATATGTTGTTAGAAGATAGGGCGTTTTCATGGTTGTGTTTATGATCGAGGGGGTACAAACGAATTTCGTTCAACGTCTCAAGCTAAGTCATCGTCGACGTCGGAACAAAGCACAATCGGCCATTCACAATGACGATTTTCCAATTTGCTTCAACCTCGAGGTTGAATAAACTGTGTCTTCAACAGCTCCTGATGCTTGCTGATGACTCCTGGATCACATATTCGGACACTGATTTGAGTTATAAGCACTCAAAAGTCTGTTTCGCATTTGCCCCACATTCAGACAGCATCACCACCACCACTACCACCATCAACATCTCGTTATAATCGTCATCATCAGCAGTATCATCATTGTTAATAGCCTGAGAAAACGCCGACATTTCGCGACGCCACTACTTGTTTCCCTGCGAAATGACGTCTCAGGAACGAGCGCAGAAATTCCATACTGATGACGTGTCACCAGCCAGATCTGGGTAGTGCTTCTGATTGGTCGTGCCGCTAGGGAGATTTGTTTTAGTCAGTCAGAAGCACTACCCAGATCTGGGTAGTGGCACGTCATCAGTATGGAATGTCTGCGCTTGTTTCTCAGACGTCACTTCGCGGGGAAACCAGTGAGTCACTAGTAGGCTGCAACGCTACCATCGTCATTACCATCATAATTATCATTATTATTCATTCAAAATATTTCCCCGATTCTGATTGGCGAAAAGCACACGCATAATTCACCATAGCCATTTGGAAGAATTTTGCGTTTAATGAACCGATGACGTCAAAAGTGCAGCGTTTTTGTAGGTTAATGCACCGTTAACCGAGAAGAACTGGGGACAAGGTTGAGTTGTTTTGGTCGTGAAAACAAAAATGGCGGACATTTCACTCGTTTCAAGAGTAACAACTAGGCGGAATAATAGCTAAAAACATGGTAAGAACAGCAAGAAGACAACTCGAAGGGCGACATCTGCTATCTGGAGAATATTTGTGGAGCTGAACACCCCTAAACGTGCACTATTGAAGATGAACTTAACATCGATGGAGGTAAGCATGTTTTAGCTATTTTTTAAACTAGGAATTATTTTGAATGAATTGTAAAACAATTAATGAATTCGGCTTTCGTATCATATGAAGAATTAGGGAGATCTCTCCATAATTCTTCATAAGATACTCAGCCTCATTCATTAATCGTTAATTATCGTCATTACCTTCGCCTATTATCATTATTATTATTATTATTATTATTATTATTATTATTATCATCATTATTATTATTGTTCTAAAAAATGAATCTTAACGGATCAATAAAAATTACTTTGTCGTGATACACCAGCCACTGACTAGCAAACTGTTTCTCGTCAGAGTTAACTGATGAAGGATGTATAGCTACCCGTCCATCAGATCTGTGGAGAAAAACAGAATAAAAGACTATCATTTCTCCGCTTGACATTACCGGACGATACTTGTGACAATCGCTTTACTTAACACAGTGAACACCAAAAATCACGTGATATGATCTCTTGTCTTATTGGCGAGGAATAAGATCAATTTTGACAGACATTTCTTCTCTGACTAGAGTCACATGAACTGAAATAAGAGTGTTAACAAGGTCTATCAGGTACAGTCGAACCTTCCGTAAGGTAAAATTACTGTATTTAAGAGAAGGTCTATTTCTAACTGACTAACTATACCTCCCTCTTTGCGTAGCGATCGAAGGATAAGAAGACATTACAAAATAAGTTTGTTTTTAACTTGGACTGAATTTTAACTATCGCATTAAACGGTGACTCTTAAAATGTGACTTCTTCTTCTCAGCTCTGTATCATCGCAAACGGTGGATATAATCTCGTTTCTTTCAGCCCACTCCTAACAATTGCTTGGATTGCATGACATATCATTTCTTTCTGCGACATCTTTTACCCAGCACAGTCTCCTTCCTTCAAGACGGGTGCAATAAAATTCAATTGACCCTTGGCACTAACAGGAGTCCAGAGCTCTCTCCTCCGCAGATTCCTCTGTTCGTGTAGGGAGGCTGGGGAGAGGGGTAAAAGCGCGCAGGGGACGGTTGGACATCCCTTCCCTCTTCCCGTCGTCACTCGCGAGCCTAATTTTTTGAACAATTTTATTGGAATTGTAGAGGGAGCCTCTCCTGTGGAGGAGAGAGAATTCACAGTGCTTTTGACACAAATTTCCATACAGTGTTTTTCAATGCCTAAAATATTTTCAGTTTTCACTTGTTTATCACCTGGTCCTGAAGGCCAGCCTGACTCGCTTTTTGCCACATTTTCCCTTGGACTCTATACCAAGACCCACTTTCACCGCGTTAGGAAAAAGACCCGCGCATACTATTGCCTACGAGGAAACACAGAGAAAATAGTTAAACATCGATAACCTTCCTGAAAAATACAAAATTCACACTTGCAAAAAAATCCCGGAAAAATCACGAGCAATTTACTGAATTCACTACTTTCACATAGACCATGATGCTCCTTGTCTTCCCCGCAAAATTTTGCATAGCCATCGTCTTCGATTTCTCTTCGAACGACTGCAATACCCAGGAGAAATTGGAAACAACGATGATGCAAAATTGGGGGTAAATAAGGTGCATTATGGTCTATATGAAAATGGTGAATTGAATCTCTTCTCCTCAGATAAACTCCCCTCTCAATCAACGGCATATACGCCCCTACCGTGCCAAAAAAAACAACAACAACAACGATATAAAGAACGGTAAACAGAGTCAGCTCTCTGTGAGGAACGTATGAGGCTAAATTATTTAAGAGGACCGTATCTTTAAAGAGCATACTTTTTAAAATAATATGGGATAGGATGTACTGCATACATCACAGAATTTCATCTAACGTTAGGCTAGATATGATCTGGTGTGAAAAGAAGGTTTACAGACACACCCACCCCAATAGATGTATAAAGTGACTGCACCCCAACCCACCTCTGCGAGAAAGGTTTCAACCATTAGAGCTTTAAACTGAAGTACTAAGGGGTTCCCAAGTATGCAACAACAACAACAACAACATAAGCTTTATTTGCATGACTATAATTATGTAATTACAGTATTGCAAAAGCTTTAACATAAAGTTACAATTTACAACAAAAGTGATTGAGCCAAGGAGAGAACTTAGAAATTTCAGCAAATTTTGTTTTCGTTTTCTGATCAGCGGTTGACCTCTATGACAGAAAAAAAGTGTTTAAGGTTGTATTTGTTGGACTTCTTCGTATGATCTAAGAGGTTTTCTCTATAAGAAATGTACAGAAAAAGAACAAGTAGATGAAGTCAAAACGGGTGCTAATGGAACTGAGTTATCTCACCTTAACTAGTTCCAAATCTTTACTGAAGGCATTGATCGTGTGACCAATATGGAAGCTGGTTATCAGGCCTGACATCTCCAGAAGTCGGCGGAGTTGGTCACGCATACCTGTCAAAATAAACATGAGATGAGTATTCGCTGTGCTCGGTCAATGCATTTAGGTGACGTATCCGAGACGAACAGTCGCTTGGACCACGTGATCCGAAGCGCATAAGCCGCGGGGGAAAATTTAGACCTAAGGACCAGGTAATCTCATATCCAGATCTCACTCTGTCCGTGGGAGATCTGGGTACGAGATTAGGGATGCACTAATTCGTCAGGTGACCATGCTTCCTTTAAACAATGAGTTGGAATCTTGCTGATGCCAAAAACTGACAGAGCACATAAAAATTATCTTACACCCGAAATTTGAGAGGAAACGCATTTAAGGGAAATATTTTATGGCACTTTGATTTTTCAGCAAAGTAGTATGAGTTGTATTGGCCGCCAAGTTGGAGGGCATACTCTTGCCCTCCAACAAGGCGGCCAAAACTACTTTTCGCTTATATCTTGTTAAACGTTTGATAGTTATGTTCAGACGAGCTGTAAACAATAACACACCATCTTTTCAACATTTTTCTTGAAGCTAAAGTGCAAAATTTGCGTTCAGAAAGAGGTAATTCAGAATTTTAAAAAAAATCCCATTCTGGTCACGTGACCAACTACGAACTTACTCATTTTAAGAAAATGGTGCAGGTTTGAAAAACGAAATCACTATTATTTTGTTTAAGATATGACCCACTAATCGTTTTTCTGAGGCAAAAACATATAACTTTCATTTTCATAAAAACGATGTCACATGACCTCTTAGTGCAAATGGCCTATTTTGATCCGAGTGGTGAAACGCAGAAAAAGGAAAATTTTTACAAGTACAGTCGAGGCTCTCATAAGCGACTATATATTTTTTTCAATTCAAAATTTTTACATAAGACAGAAGTTTTCACAACGCGGGAAACGAGAAATGGTACGAGCATGAGCCCCAAACAGTCGCGCTCGGTTCCAAGCCTACTCTGGTAACTCGGATAGCGCGAACAGGCCTGGGTACGAGGCTGACAACATCACAGTCTTGCAAATACTGACAGCTAGTGAGATAAAGGCCAACAAAGCAGACATCGTTATCAAGAACAAACAGGAAAAAAGCTGCCTGCTTATTGATATGTCCACCCCCACAGAAAAGAATACTTCAGTTCATGTAACTGAAAAACTGTCAAAAAATAAAGACCTTGAAATCGAAATTGAAACAATGTGGGGGATGAAAGCCACAACAATTCCTGTAGTGACAGGAGTCCTTGGACTAACAAAGAAAGGATTGGAGAAATATATACAACAAATCCCGGGTAACAGCAAAATACATGAACCACAGAAGATCACACTACTTGGAACATCTCACATCCTACGAAAGGCACTCTCCTAGGCCCAAGGAATGGGCTCGGCTATTATGTTGTATTATGATATTACATTAAAGATAATAATGTATTGATATTGACGTTTTCTTTTTATGAAAATTTTACTGAAGTTTTGTGTGCAGCTTTTTAAAAGATTTAGGTAAAGTATTTTGAATAATTAAAGATAACAATAATAATAATAATAATAATAGTTTCTTATCAAATTAAAACACATATTGGCCAAGGACCTAGAACAAAAAACTAATACAGAACGAATTTAAGAAAAAATTAATCAAATATTCAAGTAAACTTACAAAGTAAAAGCTACCAAATACTCTACGAAAAGAAACTGTACGCAGCCCAGCCTTTCTTGGACTTTTCCTTTATAGTATGACTTGAGTAGGCGATTGATTTCATGATCATTAGGGCACATTCAGATATCGATGCCGTCAAAGAGTTAAAAGCCTGGGAAGTACTGAAATTTATAGTATCAAGTGCGTGCAGCTCTTGCACGGAAGTACAGCTGTGACCTACGAATTTAAGGCTAATAACTACAAAAAAGAAAAAGTAAAAAAAATTACTTTGAAATTAGAAAACAATGTTCCAAATACTTTTTAAAATAAACTATACGCCTATTCAAGGAGCCTTTCTTCGGCGTTTCTTTTAAAGTGTGACTTGGATAAGCGATTAATTTCGTGGTAATCAGAGCATAATCTTGTTGATTCCATCAGAGTTAAAAGCTTTGGATGCAGTACCTTGTATAGGCGATTAATTTCGTGGTAATCAGTTAAAATTCAGGTGTGTGCAGGTGCTTATTCTACGCTCATCACTAGATCGAAGAGCTCTCGCAGGCACGTACAGCTCTGACCTAAGGTTTTCAGGCCAATGACTGGAGTAAAATGATTTAAGGGCTACTTTAACACTGAGATGAAAGTCTCGCCTCTCAGCATGCAGGAGTTATAATAGTGGAATCCTGCTGTAAATTCTGGGTAGAAAATGGCATGTGAAATACGTTATTCTACCATAATGAGTTTGCCAACTCGGCTAAAGACTATAAACCCAGGGTAAACAAAATGAAATGGTGTGTTTGTTTGAGGGTTACGGTGGGGGTGTTATTTGATACTGAAGCACGTCAGTAATGGTCCCGCCTTTGCGTTGCGTCAGAGCGAGTTGTACATTTTCCTCAAAGAAAAAGAAAGATTCATTTCGCATCTGTTGTGTGACGTCAACGGATGTTACTTTACCTCCAAACGCGCTAAAAAGAAAAATACAGTGCTTTGATGTCTCGTTAATATCTTTGTTTCAAAAACATCGCTTAAACTGTACGTTGCCTCGAAAGTATTTCTCCTTCACTAACTAGAAGTCTCAACAACTGCAAGCAGATGAAGAATTGTTCTGAGAACCTTAAAACTGACAAGGTTGAAAAATGAAAAGTCAATAATGAAGCAATATGTGTAAAAATATTCGTGACACATTTAGTTTAGATGAAAGGTATTCTTGTTTTCATAAGCACCATCCATTAAAATTAGAAAAGAAAAGTAATGAAAATGTAATAAATTCGGAAAACACTGTTTACAAAGGAGTCGAAAACGAACAAAACAAGACGTAAAAAGATAAGCAGCGAAAAGAAACAGTAGGACCGACTGCGGCTTAGAGGTCACACAGACCAAATAAATTGAACTCCTTGCTTATCAATGCAGAAAATGAACTAGTAGTCTCGTGCTGAATAGAATTTAATTAATAATTAAATAAGGATGACAAAGGAAAGCACTTTGTGGGTTCATCGACGGTTTCTCAGGCTCAGAGGAAACTATTAGCATAAATCATTTAAAAGACAGATCAACTGGAGCGAGACATAGGAAGTTGTACAGTGAGCTGGCGGTAGGTTTGATTGATGATAACATTAGTTCTCGGAACTTCCAAACCCCAAATAACGCCCGTAAACAGGAAAGAAGCTAATCGTCAAATTCCTCTATCTTCTACGAAACCCCTCATTTTTCTAAGAAGCTTAAGACACGCGAAGCACACAAAGGACAGAGCGCCTGAGCATGGAAAACCCGACCTTGGCTGTTACTTCATCCGACGAACCGCACGCGACCGAAATACACTGTCCTTTTCATCTGGACGAAGAATGGTACGATTTGACATCTACGTATGTCACCAACGTCGTTTTGATCGTGATCAACACCCTAACTGCTCTATCGGCCACGGCTGGCAATTCGTTGATCCTACTGGCAGTGTGGAAGACACCGGCGCTACGAACACCTTCAAATACGCTACTCTGCTGCCTCGCGTTCTCCGATTTCTTGGTGGGTCTAGTCGTGCAACCGACAAACGCTCTGGAAATCTTCTTCGAGATTCAACGAAATAAGCGAGCGTTCTGCGTGGCGGAAATCTTAACAACCGGTTCACTATCGTGGATTTGCGCAGGAGTGTCCTTCCTGGTCATAACCGCTATTTCGGTTGAGAGATATCTCGCAATAAAGCTGCACTTGAGATACGAAGAATTAGTCACAAATCGCCGCATCTTGATGGTCGTGTCCAGTTTCTGGCTTGTCTGTATATCCTTGATAATCGCTCGCTTCTCGGGAGCTTCGTACGACGCTCTTGTCATAATAATCGTAGTTATGGATGCCATGAGTATGGCCATTACAGTAGCAGCTTACTCAAAAATTTATCTTCAGGTAAATCTCTTTGTTTCTTTTTACCTTTAACAATTTTCAATATTAAATAAAACCCTGCCAACATTTCTGTCAACACGGCTGGAGAGAAAGCCTTAAAAAATCAGTAAAATCACCAAGAAGAGTTTGAAAGCGATTTGTTGAAAACTGAAAAAGATATAGCTTTGCAAAGTCGCGGAATTACAGACGTTTGTATGATGGGGGGAAATTTCATCCCCCACACAATACAATAATTAAATTAATTAAAAAGTCAGTAAATGTTGCGACTTTATGGAGGCAATACCTTCGCTCTCTCATCACCTTTATACTTGGTAAGTTAAATAACTTTAAGACTCTCTTTCCCGCCAGCAGTGTCGATAGATATTTGGTTACTGCTTTTTATCAAAAGATGAAAAAAAAACGTGGAAGGTTCTATTAACTTCTGCTGGGGTAACGCACAATTTAAAAAAATGCGAACATGTAGTAAGAGACAATATACTAATTCGCAGATCATTCTCAATAAAAAAAAGACCTACACTGAAACACAACCAGGATAAACCCACCTCGATGTTTAATAGAACTCCGGGGGGGTACTCCTCATGATGGCCTATACAGGGAGACTCCGCCCGAAAGGGCTACCTAGCTTTTTCAGGCTTCAGGTATATGAAAGGGTAGGAGCCTCCCCACGTAAACATTTATTGACTACCCCCCCCGGGATAGAAATGCTTTTTACTGCGAAGATCTAATTCTGATGGCGAAAATTCATGTCACTCTCCTTTTGGAAAAAATAAAGTCTGAATAGTAACACATACGATGGTTGTACCTATTTACATTGGAAAGCAATATATAGCTTATTTAAGGCTGAGCGGATGCGACTTTTTTAAAGATGGTACTCGATCTAATTCTATCATCACATAGTCTCCATGCTGTCAATATTTACTGTAAGAATGCTTTCCCGAGTCTGAATGGATATGGCCTTCTAAAATAGATATTTAAGCTTTCTTTTATTCCAAACTAGTCATAATGGCTACAGTTTTTTAGGCTGCTGAACAATTAACTCCCACGTTACTTATTATAAGAAACTTAATGTGTCAATCTAAAAAAAGAATGGAAATACAAGGCAGCTCTTTCAGCCCACGGGCAAATTCATCGACCACCTGCATGGCCTAATCCTCATAGTGCCAGCAGCATTCACAGTTATTTTACGAAACCTTCAACTAAAAAAAGTGAAAAAAAGCGATAAAAAACAACAAAAGGGGTTTTCAAGGCGAAAAGTGGGAATATCTCTCAAGTATTCCCGTTCTCTTACATGAACGAGTTAGCTGAATTACCCCATCCAAATCGCAACCGCGCTCCTTTTTTTCGCTGTTTTGAGTAATTGCGGTTCTCTTAAATTACTTGTAGTGAAATTTGAATAAAGTACACTTACAGCCTTAAAATGGTTTCATAGGAAAAAAGAGTGTTGAAAAATTTTCTGTCATGTAAATTCAATAATGTCATGTTGGTTTTTACAAAGCGTACGTGTCCATCTGTAAGAGCAGATGTCGCGTTCTTTGAAACTAAATAATAGCAATCGTAATTTATACTATGGACTCCATAGTTACTGTAAAATTCTGATAACTCGATTATACCTAAATGGCGCGTCGCTGGGCAACTCATTCCAGACGGGGGGATAAAGTGATATATAAAAGGGGAAGGGTAGGGGCCTCGGGGCAAAGTATCCCTGTATAATAAAAACTTCGTCAAGTCAGCTCCTCCCCCCCCATCCCCCACCATCATCCATCACCCCTCTACACCCAATCCCAGAGCACAGTCAGCGCAGAGGTCATGAGTTCGAATTTAATATCGTTTTATTTCTTTCATAACCGTGATGATCATTATCCTTTATATGATTTTGATAATTTTTTTGTTACCAGATTCGTTTGCTGCAGAGCAAGACCAAAGACCAGCGCCATCTGAACCCGTCAGGGATCAACATAAACACTTTCAAACGCTCCGCAGTCACCATGCTATATGTACTTGGCCTCTTTCTCGCCTGCTTCATTCCTTTCTTATGCGCCCTTGTAGTAAAAATGCGTCGAGGTGGAGGCCCTCGATTGAACATCATCTACAACTTCACGGCCACCATCGTCTACCTGAACTCTTCTCTGAATCCATTCGTGTACTGCTTCCGTTTAAAGGACATTAGAATCGCTGTATTTAAAGTACTAGGCAGGAAGTACACCATTGACATGAACGGAGAGCAAGTTCCGGTATCGCGATCGCATTCCAATCAAAAGCTCAACAACCTCAAGTGCTCCAATCAGAATGTTTATATACCGCTGTCTACTGTGGATATTTCCAAAGCACCTGAAACTATTGTCTAGAGGAGTAGGGACGTAAGAAGAGAAATCGAGAATAAAGACCCAAGAGGACAAGTGTGTTCGCGAGAGAGAATGTACACTAAGCGCGCGAGTTCCA